ACTCGGACAATGGAGGCGAGGCATATGTTTCGAGAGAAGTGAAACGGCCTGTACACGGGACCGAATAGGGACAACACCGAGCCCAATACAGCAACAGAGCCTAACATAATGCTTACAGCCCGTCCCGCTCAAGAGCCTGCTTCGGATGATGATGATGATATCCTAGTTGCTGGTTCTTAAGCACTACGGTCTGTAGATCTCAAGGGTTAGGGTTTGCCAGGCCTAACAACTGCCGCATTGAGGGTCACTGGTAGTTCGCAAAGTAAGAATGTAATCACCGTAAAGCAGGGCCTTGGTACAGCCCTCGTAAACATTGACAGAGCCCTAAGGAACCAGGAATCTTTATGGACACCAAAACGCCTTCCTGACTCCTAAACCTCAAGGGCCCCATTTAAGAAGAACGACCAAGCTTTTGATGCGCTTCGCAGAGAGCGTCCATCGGAGCCCCACGTCAAGGACTGGCAATCTTAATCACGGCCCAGAGTTACGCTCACGGCCCAGAATTGAGTATCGAGGTTTGGGTTTAGTCACGTGTGCAATCTAGGGCGTAATGTTTTAGGGTTTGCAGCCCCGACTTGGGAATGAGTGTGCCAGGATTCGGGGCCGTAGGCTTCCGAGCAGAGTCGAGGATTTAGGGTGCTGGATGGTGCTGGGCTTCCACATGTTAAAGCAATTTAAAGCACAAGTAAGAGACCATAAAAGGAGGATACTACTAAACGTGTAGCCGTCTAGATTACCACAGATTCTCGCCCCAATACTGGTGGGCATGCTCATCCACCCAGACCGGGTTACACTGGCTCTCACACGGCCCTTTGCACAGCACACGCTGACGCCGCAGCCTCTGTTTCAGCTCCCAGCCCTCGGAGATCAGTTTATCCACCGCTTCTTGCTCCGGCCCCGGCTCCCTGTGAACTTCCACGATAATCCTCGACGGTGCTTCTCACGTCCAAAACGACTAAGCGATCGTAAGAAAAGAGTTCAAAGAAGGACACACATCCAAATGAGTTACTTTCAAGCTCCAAGCCCATGCAACATCTAGACGCTTTACACCCATGCCCCCAACCCTGCCACAGACACACACAAACACACACACACACACACACCCACACACACACACGGAATGTCAAGTGAGGTTTCTTTATGCGATGAACCAACTGATGCCCAGGTCTCAAGTGACCACACATCAGAGACTTTTGACATGTGGCTTCATGGACAGTAACTGCAAGGAGGAAGGGCAAAAAGTCCATGGCCTGAAACCTCTATCTGCCTGACTAAACCACAACGCCGGCCTGAACCCCAACGCACCGAAGGGCAAGACTGAGAACATAAGCCTGACTAACTGCGCAACCTGCGACTCGTCACCAAACGTCCAAAACATGTAAGCTCAAGCACTGAATGTACCGCTCCAAATGTACTGTGGGCGCAGGCATAGAAGAATGGTATCCCACGCACGCACTGAGGGTTCTCGGCTTAGCCCCGCGCCATGTCCAATGGGATCATGGGGTGCAAGGTCCCAGCTGCCGTGCTAGGCCCGGAGCACCTTGCTGACTCCCTCCAGCTGCCACGCAGGGCCCAGGAGCGGAGTCCCCCATAGCAGGTACACTGAAATGGCCAGTTTCAGCTTCCCGCATACTCAGTTAGCTTCGTTGGATGAGATCACTGAGCATGCGTCTCATCCCCCTGCTGTAGTAAAGAGCGCAATCCGGATCTGAAAACTGTGTTCAGTAGCACGAACAGAAAGATGAAAGCATGCCATGTGAGCGTGACCTGAAGACCCTTAGACACAGGGTTGTCACACACACACAGAGACAAATCCGAGATTAAGCAGACCCCAAACCTTAAACTACACTCCTGCAGCACTAAACCCCCGAATTCAGCGACTAAGTGGGCTCCCAAAGGGCATGGACAGCATCTCCAGTAGGTCTGGATTCTCATCAAGGAAGGTGCCGAAGCAGCCCTCACCTGGCTTCTCGTCAGGCTGTTACATCCGGTGTTTAGGAGGATTGAAACAGGAGTTAAACTTCACTTACAGCACTCGGCCTGTGCGTTAAATGATGTCGTGCCTTCCCTGTTGTGGCAACTTAGACTCACTACCTTAGCAATTTTAACAAGCATCCAGTCACAGTCAATGGCCAGTGTGTCAAACGTGGCGTTCAGAGACCGGAGGCTGTGCGCAGGAACCAGCACGCCCGGTCGAGGGTCATCGAGGCCCATGGTGATACTGCCGTAGTTGTGGAGCAGGAACTTTAGGCTGCTCGTGCCAATGGGACCGCGAACCACCTTGAGTTGAAACAGAAGCCGGCGCCTCTAGGAAAACAACCAGGAGAAGCCATTAAATCTCATGTCCCGGGAACTGTCGCATGGCAGCCGTGGCGTTGAAGGTTCTCTTCCAGTACATCCCACACTGCAGGATCAGCATCAGACGCATGCAACCTGGCGCCGGTGGAGTCGGGCTGCAGGAGCTTGGAAAGCAGGCAGGTCGTTTGCCCATACCTCAGTTGTTCTTTGCGGGCGCCAAGAATCCTAAGGGAAAAGCAACCCCAAATCCCACAGCGCGAAACCCCTAAGTATGAGGAAACACTGAGACCCTTCGAAAAGTAACCCAAACTGCCCTAAATCCGAAACCCGAAGACAAGGAGCCGGGCTCCAACTTCCAGGACCGAAGACCCAGGACGTATCCAAGTCGTATACATCAGCCGCGAGCCGTGCCTCATCGTTTTGAAGAATCTGGGTTTGGGGTTTTGGACGCTGGGTTTAGGTTTACGCTCTCGCAACTCGGACATGCCTGGTGGGTTTTGGTCTTAGGGTTCTCTTCAGGTTTATTGATGGTTCTGTAACGGTTTTCGTAAACAAAAACTACGGTAGAAAAGCAAGAGCTTAAAGGTCAGGCATTGGAGAACCCAGGCGCTCAATTTGGCAGATAAATTGGTTCCCTCCCTCCGTCTGAAAGCTGCAATCGTCTCGAACCAACTCCTGAGTTCTGGTTCTTTTCACTCTTCAGGAGATACGCTTTAATTGGGGTTTCGACTCTCACAAACTTATTACGCTCTCACAGCTCGGACAAGCCAGGCGGGGCCTCGTGGTTCGTGCCGAGGTACACAAAGCACTGACTGCTGTGATCCATCCGTAGAACACACCCAAGATTTCATTCGTGTTCGGGGTTTAGGGAACTTAAAGCTACCACAGCGAACAAATGAATCTTCACACATGGCCGCGGAGCTTAGATGAGCCCAGACTCTGCACAGTCCCGGGTCCATCTCGCAGTGACTTTAGTCTGGATCAAAGACCTGCCAGTGGCCTGGCAGTCGTCGGCGCCCTGGGCGGCGCAAGAGCCGAAGAGGAGGCAAAGCGTCGCCAGCAAAGGCCAGCACTTCAAGAGGCGACAGTGATGCATGGTATCAGGTATCAGGGACTTGTATACCCCCGGCGGTGTACAGATAAAGTGGAGGACAAAGCTTGAGCAGCTGCGGTGGCGGCAACGTTCAAAATTCACGACCCGCCCTTCGAGCATGTTCGTGATGCTTGCCAGCACCACTGAAACTGGCTTGCAAATTCTTACGACGGCTGTTTAGCGGGGTCATCACCGATTCTAAAGCGGGTTTCATAGAAGAGTAAGAAGCGTTCATGAAGGTTTTGCTCCACAGTCTACTGCCCGAGGAATACTAACCCTATTGAAATGCACGCGGAGTCCTGGGCTGGTCGGGCATCTGGTGGGTCGACTTTGGCTTCTTTGGTCAAGGACAAACTCCAGGTTGAGGCGTCTTGGCGGACACCTGAGCAGCAAAGCGGCTAGACCAGTGTCGGACAGCTGGACACAACTAGACTAGACGCGTGGGCTATCTCAGTTGAAAGCCACCAAGAGCCGAGACTGTCGTAAAGTGGTTGGGTTCTTGCCAGCATCTAGAAGCAACTCGGTGCAGTGACACTTGCCCTCAAGCGCTGCTCATCAAGCTTCGCACCAACATGGAAAGACACCGCGTTGCTTTACAAGACCCTGCCTCGATCCACTGTTGGCCCCTACGCAATGTACTCCCAATAGGAGACTCGGGGAAACTAGGGGAAAACCTGGGGACTAGGGGAAACTAGGGGACTAGGGGAACCCAGGGGAGATTTTCCCCTAGTAAGAAATCCCCAGCTGCGATTTTTTGACGAAGGGCTGAAGAAGCTGACCAGCGCGAGAAGGATACCCAAGGCACAGAGTCGGCGAGAGCACATACTGTAAGTTATGTTCTCTCAGACCTACTGCTGATTCTGAAGTATTATGTAGGCCTTGAAGGCAACTCCTTTGACCACATCTCGGGGATTGAAGGTGCGGAAGGATTGCTAATGAGCCAGGCTTTTTTGTTTGAGAAGCTGTGCTACATCTGGCAGTGGTGGCAATGCATGCAGCTCAGCTATCCTGAAGCATCAAAGTCATGTGGCCTCCGCTGGGCACGAGAACCGCGGACAGTTGCAATTCCGGACACGAAGGAGGATCAGTGACTAACCCCATGGGAATTCAACTCAGCCGTTCCTGATGAGAAGGACTTTTCGCTCGCAGGCTTAGCAGAGGCGTCTGACCAGCTCCGAAGAATCCCTTGGCGCATCTTGGCGCCCATGTCCCTCTGAGCAGATAGGGACTGTTTCTGGGACACCGGCTCCTGTCTGCTTGCCAGCTTTCTCCCGCGGGTGCTGAAAACCACTGCGGCCAAGAATCGCATGGAACCAGCTCTTTGATCCCTGCCTGCATCTGCAACGTCGTGGCAGATGTCATTAAGCTTGACCTGCCCAGAAAGCCGCCGCTCTCGCAACAGCTGCAATCGGCAATGCGCAAGAACATCGTGTATGATTCATCCCTGCCTGATGTTCCTCCACTTGGGTAAGCTGGGGCAGGGCCATGGACAGGTTGGTGCGGGAAGCCCACTTCCAGGCCAGAGCTGTGGCATGTTCAACTCAAGGCGAGCTCGTCCACCGTCAGGACGAAGGCGGTTCCCTGGCCCCGAAACGGGATCATCGTCGCCTCATTCCGGGCCGCCATCCTGTCGCTGTTTGCCTGATCAGATCGACCAGGTCGTGATGCGGGAGCAGCGGACGAGCCATCTTGGGCCTCGCGGCCGGGGCGGAGGCCTAGGTGCGGTGGGCACACTACAGGCATTCCAAGGCATCGTTGCGGTGATGCGGGGTCGGCACATGGACGAGGACAACGCGAAGGCCAGATTTGACAGCCCCTGGCCCGAAGTCTGGATCTGGATCATCCCCACCTACTTCGCTAGAAGAACCTGGTGATGGTCACCGCCTGCTGGGTGAACTCCGGAAGCCTGGCGCACCCTGCCCTCACCAGTCGCAGACCTTCGTGCAAGCTGCCAGTAATTAGCAATAGACAGTTGGCAGATGCTGGCAGAAGGTCATGAACTCCTTCAAAACCAGCGGGATGCTCATGGTAACTTCTGGGTAGTTTGCGGAAGTCTTCATAGCTTTCTTTCTCGGAAACCTGCAGGCAGACAAGATGTGAGAAGCCGGAGTTTCACAGCTCACGAGGAGCCTCGGCGATGCGTGCAAAAGCCCACGCAGCTGTGGAAATTTCCTGCGGCTGAAAGCCTGCCGGTGCTCTGAAGTGGGATGTACAGTACGCTATTGCAGTAAAAGTGCGAAAAGCCGGAGATGCCTTCGAGTCCACGCTCTAGTGCTGCCGTGGAGAGCCTGGGAGGACGAGTTTGAAACCACTGTGGCCTGTGGGCAGATCCATACCGTAGATCCTCATCGGCCATGTGGCAGTGTCAGAAGTGGTTCCGGGGCCTCTGCCAGCCTGAGCTTTGCTGCTTCTGATATTTGCAGCCCACAACATGGCTTGGCTCCCTGCCTTGCAAAGCTCCAGGCGCATATTGCCAAGTTCCTCGATTTCTAGCAGGACGGCTCCAGGCCAAAGTAGATTGGTCGCTTGAGCCTTCACCATGTTATGCCCTCCCGTCTTCATCTGCTTTGCAAACGAGAGTCTGTGGCGAGATTTCTTTGTACATGCTGCAGGCCTGGCAACCGTCGCGGAAAGAAGCGATGCCGGCTTCTGCTGTTTGGTCCACACTGCACACTCTCCTGCCGCACAATCGCTTCCACCGCGTCGCCCACCATGGGAAATCTGTCCTCACCAAAGAACCGGCCCTTCCAGTCACAAGTCCGCACGCAAACGGAGAACTTTCCACATATACAGCAATAAATTGCCATGTGTACATGTGCATGCTTAGACCCAGTTTACGATTCCGAAATGTCTGCCATACTCCGAAGCCTCCACTTGCGAGGTTGCCATTGCCCACAGCAGGGTTGCCAAATGCTGGGGCCTCGAGCTACTCGGAGTTTTTGGCTCTTGCACTCTCACAACTCGGCACAGCCGGGTGAGGAGGTTTTTAGGGTCAAGAGCCTCGATCGGTGCACTCAAACTCTGAACCCTAGTAACCTTAGCCCAAAAACCCACAACTGGCGCAAACCCTAAATGATGGTTTCCGAAAACAGGGGACCCTGGTATCGCACCCGGATCCTTATGATAAGGACCCCAAAGTACAGTATCGGGAATTTTTTCGGAAACTCCAAAATGATGGCGAAAGGCAAAGCCCCGGACTCTGCAGTGTCCAAGCACAGCATGGCCGCTGCGGCCGACCGCCAGAAGCTGCCAGAAACAAGAATAGCGAGGGAGAGAGAGAGTGAGAGAGAGAGAGAGAGAATAATCATAGATTCTAGATTTAAATATGTAGATGTATATGTATATACATATGTAACACCGCGTTATCAGTAGGGTTTCGGCTCTCACAACTCGGACTCTGCAGGTCTTTTTTCCCTCCTACCTAGCAAGGACGAAGCCCGCATTGCAGGGTCTAGGGTTTAGGGTTCAGGCTGTAGTGTCACCTCGCCATCGACGGCTCGAGGGTCCGAAATAGCAGGCATCTTCAATGGGAGAGTCGACTCTTTGCTTTGCAGGCTCTGCTTTTCCCCGCCTGGCACCTTCTTGCAACGGCAGCCTGAGCAACAAGCAGAGCTCCAGTGATATAGGGGCCTTACTAATCAGAACAGGGTTTTGAGGCCCATTATACTCTGACGATAATAAGGAACCCCCACAATAGTACCTTCAATTATCTAGGCCCCTATATATTACAGTACCATGCAAGGACCGGGCCTCAGGACTGCCAAGGCCCAGCATGTATTCGACAGGCCCTGGCGGAATGTGCAAACTCGCCGTGACCGGGCCTTCTGAGATTCTGCCTCACGTTTCAGGCACCTGGGAATTCATCTGCGAAGTCAGCCCAGCCTGGAAACAGGTCGACGTTCAAGAAATATTGGTTACCATGACAGCTGAGGCTCCAGCGGCGGCTGAAGACAAGGAGACTGTTTGGGCTTCCAACCTTGAAGTGCACGGCAGTGTGTTGTGCATCTAGTCCCCGTTACTGGCAAGCCTTGGCCAAACAGTAGACATACTTTGATCTGGCGCGACATCAACTACAACAACATACACTAGTATAAAACAGTTTGATATGATACGACGAAATACAACGGAGTTTAACATAGAACAACATAACAACAACTACTATATCACATTGTACAATAAAGTGTATGACATATAGTACAACATGATCGACTGCAAATTCGTAAACTGTGAGATAAGACCAGGTCATTACATACACGTATCAGAAATGTCAGATGCTGTAACACCAGGTAATGCAAGATCGCAGAACATAACATGGGAGGTTATAAGACGCTATGCGATAACATAAGATAATGCAACATGAATTGCCCACACTAGGGAGGCTCGTGTTTAGCAGAAGCGCAACAGAAGACAACATTTCCTAAGCCACGCACGCGAACCGCTACATACATGCCTTCGATGTCTTGTTAGCAAATGCCTGCGATATCTCACTGGCATCAAGATATTAACGCTAAAACTCCTTGTCGTGCCCCTCTAGCTCCGCTAAAGCCCGTTTCTTCCGGAGTTGCAGCAAGACGCGATGCTTCCGACAGATTTCGTTTCTTCATCCTCGTTCTCTCAGAGTAAGTTGATTCATCCGAGGCCATGTCACATGCATGCTCTGAAGAAGAGCCACAACGGAGCGCAGAGGTTCAGGGACATTCAGAACGCACAGATTGAAGGCAAAGCTCGCGGCAGTGGAGTCTCTCCACTGAGCTTCGCGACGGCCTGTCTTCAAGCCGATGCTCACGAGGCTCACGTTAATGTCACGAACCAGGACCACCTACCGTATTGCACAGAAGACGGCCGTGAACCCATGGCCCAAGACTCCAGACTGGCCAGGACCATCGGATCACACCGCACTAAAAGCGAATCAGAAGCCAATGTTTCGCCTGCTGCCACTCTCTCTAAACAATGTGAAAATACCTGCGAAACAAGGGCGCACCCAGCAGACGTTTGACAGACTGCGATGCCCGAAGCCGTGCACGACCAGCTCCTGCAGCAGAGACAATCCAAGGGCCAAACAGCGTCAATCATTTAATCATTCTTAACTCTCCGTGCTCAGGATTCCTGCTACCTTTCTTCAGCGACAACCACGACGGCAACGCTCCTTTTGTTCCCTCTACTACTGGTACCAATAGTATCACCGTCACTACTCTTCCTCCTCCTGCTGCTACTGCTACTACGGCGACTACCACTGCTGCTATCCTACAACCGCAGCTAGAGCTACAGCTACAGCTTCTTCTCCTGCTTTTGGTTACAGTGCTGCTGCTACCTCTGCTGCCTCTGCGACCGCTACTAGCAGTTACTAGCAGTACTACGCCGACGGCGACTACTGCTACTGCTACTGCTACTGCTACTGCTACTGCTACTGCTACTGCTACTGCTGCTCCTGCTGCTACTTCCTACTTACCATTACGACCACTACCACTACGACTTCTACTGCTACTGCTACTGCTACTGCTACTGCTGCTACTACTACTACTACTACCACCACCACTACTAACCAACCTCACTGCCACAGCTGCTGCTGCTGCTGCTGCTGCTACTACTGCTACTACTGCTACTGCTACTACTGCTACTACTACTGCTACTACAGCCGCTGATCAAGTCACGATTTGCATTTGCAAAAATGATTCATCGTGCAACCGCCTTGGCCAGCTGATCAGCGAGACACTCGACCTTGCACACGGTGGTATGCCAATTCTTGTCTGCTGCTGCGTGCAGTTCCGCTGGAAAAGGCCAGCGCTGCGGCGGCTGTATGGCGAAGACATGCTGTGTTGCCTCGCCTGGCGCCGGGATCGAAAGTCAAATCACTCGGATACAGCTGATTCAACCGGATTCTTGGACAACACGCGGTCGATTCTGTCTTGGCAACAATGCGGTCTCAGTCTCGCTTAGGAGCACGTCCCAGCTACTTTGCAGTTGCGTCCTGGGCGGCAGCATGGCAAGCGTGTAGATTGCAGTTGCAACCTCGCACGCAAGACTCGCTTTGGCAGAGGGTGCCAGAATGTGTTGCATGCACATCGCTATTGGGCAGAGGGTGACAGGATGTCTTGCATGCACACGCTCTACCTCGGGCTATCCATGCTGAGAAACATGGCGGCTGTCAAACTCCTCGGCCTTTGCCTGACAAGCTCGTCACCATCGTCATTTCAGGCACATGGGCCACACTTGCAGGGGCACCTTGATGGTGGCTACAAGCTCTGCGCGTGACCTCCACTGAAACGCCACACATTGTAAGGACCGAAGAAAGCATTGACAGCAGCTAACTCTGGCTGATGCTGCGCTTCGACACACACCTACACACCTCGCTGTTCTCAACTCCTGGTTCAACCGGATCACGGCCTGTGCCTGGCTTCGGGGACAAAGACCGTTCGTGTGTCTAACATTCGAGCGGAGGAACGTAGGACGTAGGCCTTTCGGACCATCAGCACATGCCAACGGCTTCCGGCTTGTGTGGAAACTCCCTGTGTGTTCTTGCATACTCTTGTGCTGCCTGCACCTCGCACTCTGCATGATCTATGCAAGTGCTTACCTGGTATGTAGAAACCAGAGTCAACTCTGTGGCCATCTCATGCCTTGGAGTATGTCTACCATCGCCAGGATCAGAAGGACGGCGTGAGTAAGCGAAAATCTCCAGCGACAAAGCTACCAAGAGATTGCTCGGTGACTCCTTCAGCCCAGCCGAAATAGGAACGCCGCACTGACAACAGCTTCGGATCTCAGCCCGGGGCTGCGGCTACATGTTGGTTCAGCCTGCATGCCCTGACCGAGAACATCGGCTGCGAAAGAGACTCGAAGATTTGTGTACCAGTGTAGTTTCATCTTTCAGGGAGCGTACTGGCGTACTGAGTACTGCTACAGTAGCGGACGACGAGTCGACGCGGCGCAGCAAGGATCCGCTCCAAAGCACCACGTGGCGGTTTTTTGCGGTTCGGCACGCGACTGGGAGAGTTGGACGTGAGTCTGCCCATCCCCTGGCCTGACAGCATTGCATAGGCAGAACAAGCAAGCAGTTTGGTTATCACCGACTGCTTCAGGGAGATGAGCAGATCTCAAGCTCATGCCACAAGCCCGGATTCTTGCGTGCGAGCAATGTGCCCCCATTGGCACGCCCAAAGCTCGCAAACTCGATCACGAGCCGCAGCACGGCAGTCATTAACGTAAAAGCCCCACAATAAAGGATTTCCGGCTAAATCTGCACAGTTTGTACAAGACAGCCCCGCTCAGAAAGCTCGCAAGGCTGGGCATCAAGGAGGCGATGTTCAACCCCTGAAGGCACGGCAGTGACCACCTCCGCAAGCAGAAACATTGATATCAGTTAATGTTAATCGCGGGAAGTCTGATTGACAAAGTTCTCGGGATCGCACCCTCAGGCCACGAGGATCCAAAGGCACCCCCAATCAGGGGTCCCAGGGGTCAGGCAAATCCTTCAAGGTCACTTCTTAGCAAGGGCATGAGAGCGACATGTGCACACAGTGTCCTTGCCAGACTTGCCCTTTCCTTCGGACTTGCCCTTACCCTCGGATTTGCCCTTGCCATCCTTCCCCTCCGACTTGCCCTTCTCCTTACCTTTGCCTTTGCCATCCTTTCCTTCAGACTTGCCCTTCCCTTCTCGATCCTTGCCTTCCTTTCCCTCCTTGCCTTTGCCTTTGGACTTCCCTTTACCTGCATCAAGCTGGCACGCACGACTTCTCCATCCCACTCAACCATCCAGCCTTTGGGGACAGGTTGCGGAGGGCTCGCTGCGGTGTTTGCGCCAATGGGCAGCTGCCCATCAGCCGAGAGCTGCTGCGCCTCCAAAATGCCAGGAAGGGCACTGTCTGAACATCTCGGTACTCCTTTGCTGAGTCCCTCGCATCGCCAGCAGACCGAATGACCAAGCCCATCCCCCGTGGTGCCTTGGCTGCTTGACAACGGAAGAAACAACGTGCAGCCCGGCTCCCTGTTGAAATTCGGCGTGTCGCATTCCGACCAGGCTTGCGCGCAGCGGCCGCTGCTTTCTCCTCACAAGCACAAAGGATGGTGGCTATGGTCCGCTACGGTTCTAGAAAACCTCCACGGCAGCTGAACGGAAAAACATCTGCAAACAGTCGTAATCACAACAACCATTTTCATACACAAAACACTCTGCGATCCGAGGCCTCGTTCTCTTTTCGTCTTCTATCTCTTTCGAATTTCAGCTTCTCACGTTCTTCACCTCAGAGCAGATTAAAGGTGCCCATAGGACATGATGCATCTGCAGAAGATTGCACGAAGGCCTTGGAACTCTTGCATTTCAACTGTCAAACATGTGGTCGCAACTCCAATCCCCTACCTGAGCTTCGAACGGTCTGCCTCACGTGCTGCGGCTGCTGCAAGCGCAGCTGCTGCAGCACCACCTGTTTCGATCGTATGTTCTTGCATTTGCACCCACCGCTCACCCGAAAACCAAGGCTTCTCCTTTTCGTTTGTCGGGATTGCTTTTTTGAATTGCAATGACCGAAACTTTCTACCCAGCGAAAGCTAATGCGTGCAAGACTTTCGGAAATTCGTGAGTGCTCTACTACGGCAGCACGCACGCAAAAACAAGTACCAAGAAGGAAGTCAAACTATGTCGGCCAGTTCCTTCACTGAAGACAACCAAGACCCGGAAGAAGCCTAGCAAGCCCTTCGCATTGACAAAAAAACCTGCAGGCCACCCTTTGTGTCGCCTGAGCGTGCTGCAGCGCGTCTTCCCGCCGGAGTTGTCGGGATCTTGGAAGGGTCGGTTGACACCAGGTGCTGAGGGAGAGCTGGAGACGAGAGGTGCACTAAGGAGTTCGATATCAAGCCGGTGCTTGCGATGCTGTTTCACAACCAAACTTCTACTAGTAGCTACATTGGTGCCGCCCAGCAGGATGCTGAGCACAAGGCCGGAGCTCCAGAACGCAGAGTCGCAGTACCTTTGGACCTGTTTCATGACACGCAGTGGGCATGAAGTCATCAAAGGCGACTGACAAACGGTTGGCGCACTGCAGCTCGTCATCGTAGGTTCCTCGGCAACTACGAAGCTCATCCATCGCTGGCTGTGTGCTTGTAAACTCTGAACATCAGGGTCGCAGACCGTAAGCGTCCTCACCTTCACCTGCTAGTTGGAAACACAGCATGTGGCAGCACTGCCCTGACTAACATCAAGCATGCGGCCACATGCTCCTCATGCTTCAGTTCACTCTACAGTAATCCGTTGGTGTGAACACACTGGGGCATCGAGAGCTGACAATGGTACTGCAGCTGCAAAGCCATGCATGTATATACATTTACCAGTACATGCATGTGCGTTCGTAATGTGTGTAGGAGTAGGCGTACTAGTAATAGTAATGCTTCTGTTGTTGCCGCTGTTGCTGTTGTCGTCGTTGTTGTTGTTGCTGCCTTTTTGTTGTGCCGCTTTGCATGTGTATGCATCGAATTATCTTTGTAGCTGCGATCGCATGCATGTGTATGCATGTCTGTATGTATGATTGCACACACGCGCGTAACTTATTACATGTCCGCAACTGTGAGTACCTGTATCCATGTAGCCATAGGCAGGCTGGCAGGCAGGAAGGTCTGCGTGTGCGTATGGGTGTGTGTGCATGTCTCTGTGTGTGTGTGTGTGCATGTCCGGGTGGGTGGGTGGGTGGGTGGGTGGGGCGTGGGTGTAGGTGTGGGTGTGGGTGTGGGTGTGAGTGTGCGTGTGCGTGTGCGTGTGCGTGTGCGTGTGCGTGTGGGTGTGGGTGTGTGTGTGTGTGTGTGTGTGTGTGTGTGTGTGTGTGTGTGTGGGTGTGTGTGTGTGTGTGTGTGTGTGTGTGGGTGGTGTGTGTGTGTGTGTGTTGTGTGTGTGTGTGTGTGTGTGTGTGTGTGTGTTTTCGAGCGTGTGTTAGTTTATGTGCAAGTATGTATATGTACACCTATAAAGCCTATAAACATACACGTGTCTGTTTTCGTCACAGTCCAGTGATGCCTGGGAAGGTAACCGGAATTGCCTTGGTAGGGCGCCAAAACTGCCTCGAAACCTCCACTGTCCTGTTCCGTTTGCCCTTTCTTGCAAGTCAACTTCAACACAGCAGAAGCCGTGCAGAGCTCTTCAAGAGCATCTCTGTGTTGTGCGCGTTGCTGTCAAGCCCGACTCCAAGGCTGCAGCTGCTGCTTCCAGCTTCAGCTGGAGCGCCGAGCTGTCGGTCAATCTTCGGAGGCTTCCTGATTGGACGATCCTGGGCCAAACTCTGACTGCTGTGTCACCCTTTCAATCAACATCTCGAGCGAATGGATTTACTGAGCAGTATCCGATGCAACCGCGGCAAACCTCCACTGTCGTGTCAAAACAGCAGCTTCTTTGGCATGACATAGGGGCGCGGCGGGACCGCCAAGCCTCGACGCAGCGTGCAAAGCGGGCTCGGTCGAATTTGCATGTAGGGTGTCGGGATTGAAAAATTAAGGTTTTCCAACTCACAGAACTGGCCCCTTCTGTCTGGGGTCTGTGCGCATTCTCGAGATCGATGGTGATGCGCTCGCCTACCAAGCAGTACAACCAAGCTCCGTATCATCAGGCAGCATGGAGTTTGCCCACATTCGGGTGCATGTACGTGTACGTGCCTTGCAGGGTACTTGCAAAAAGTGCAGTTGGCATCAGTGGCAACGACGCTTTTCTCTGTGACAAATGCGTCGAGCTCTGCTCCCTGAAACCATGTGCGAGTGGCTTGGGAGTGGTCCTGCGACTGGAATTTCAACATCTCGTGGTGTGATGTCGTTGCCGGCATGTCATGCGAACGACCGGGTGTGGCATACTTGGCCACCTGTAACATCCTCTAACCACATGAGACGGAACATCTTTTGGCGCAGCACCCATGACATCTTCCGCCGTGCTGGCCGATGCTCCACATGCTTCACCACCCCCTCGCAGTGCTCCATGATTGTGCCGGTCCATCTGCGGCCAGCTAGCTTATCTGGCTCATCAGCACAATCCAACAAGCTGCGCGTGCCCGTTGGCGATGTGCAAGTTGTCGTCAAAGAACCCACTGCTGTTCACACATTGAACTCCATCTCCTGGCAAAGGCAGACAATAAAGAACAAATTCAGGCTCTGAGCTGCGGCAGTACTTGCCTGTGTGATAGATAACCAGCACAATCGACTCCGAGCAAAACTCCTCACACGTGGTGGCTAGGACGTTCCAGGATTCGATGTGCAACTTGCAATCGGTGCCTTCAGCTGCTTTTGCACAAGCTGCTTCGAGACCGGATCCAAAGGCGCCAAGGCTTCATCGATCAGGACGACCTGTAAAAACCGCACCACACACCGGCTCACTGCAATTCGACCGACAAACCGCATAAAACCCGCGACCGGTCCTCAGGGCACCGGCTCTTTAAGAAGATCTGGCGCATCAGCTCGGCTTTGCTCCGCTGCCCGCCGGATAGACCACTATACCAATCCTGGTTCTTTACATGCTCAAGCACAGGTGACCAGGTGCATGTACGTGTATGTCATACACATTTAACATGTGTACCGTACCCACCAGAAGACACAGAAAGATAGAGAGAGAGAGAGAGAGCGAGAAAGCGAGAGAGAAGGAGAGAGAGAGAGAGAGCGAGGGAGGGAGGGAGAGAGGAGAGAGAGAAACAAACAAGTAGTTTTTCGGCATGGCTTGGCTTCAAAGTGCCAACGGGGTAACGCTGAAACCCTGCCGAATGCATCGCCTGTCTTGACGTCCCCGGATCCGAAATCCACAACCCAAAGCTTTGGAGTTCGAAAGGATCGGGTATGAAGCCTTTCGGTATGAATCCATGCGGACCCCCGGGTTGAGACTCTGCAGTACTCTGCAGCCTGGGTGCCTTTGACTCCTGCCGCAGCTCCTCAGCCGTCAACCCCTGCGACTCGGACTCCTGAAGGATTGATTCATTCATTCTTAGTGGCAGGTTGGGTTGTGGGTACCTGTTTTGAGCAAAGGTCAATCATGCAGTCAGGCGGAAAGACCGATGGGTAGATAGACAGGCAGACGCGGGTTTCTGCTCTTGTGTAATCTTCTTCTGCCTGCCCCGTGCCTGCCAACATACCCGAAGCAGACGACATACCCAGCTGTACAAACACATATAACGAATGCCTCTCGCATGTTAGGTGCACCTCTCTCTCTATATCTAAATAAATAAATATAATATGTATATATATATATATATATATATATATATATATATACATACGTACACATACACACGCGCCCGTCGTATATAAATATACATATATATATATATGTATATACACAGACAGGTACAAAGATGTATGGTGCCGCGTCGCAAGCCCCCCCCCCCCCCCCCCCCAAAGCCAGGCCTCTCGTCCCAGCAAACAGTCACACGTCATCCGCCCCACGGTATGCCCCCCCCAAGCCAGGCCTCTCGCCTTGGGCTTAGCAGGCGGCGGGGGGGCAGGAGGGATAACCCACAACACAAGGAACCACAAGGCCCCTTCCCCTTCGCTCCCCTTCGACACAGATCAGAATGATGGCGATGATGTTGTGCACCATGACGTTGATGTGCTGTTCAAAGTGTGGCCGTTCGTGGTATCTCTGCTAACATGTTGCCCTGGGCTTCGGCACCGCATGTTCATTCCTTTACTCAGTTGAAAATCGTGCCTGGTGTGTGATGTTCTTTCGAAAACTGTATCGACAGTTGTCATTCCATGCCAAGTTTCGGTTGGGTTCGTTAAAGTAAGCTCGAGCACGTGCTTGAATGATCTTCATTCGGGACTCTCGAGCAAGGGACCGGAGGAGAGTGCGGATGGGGATCATGACCACCATCTTCGTCGACATCATCATCACCATAATAAGCCATAATATTCATCACTGTCATGGCCTTTGAAGCTCAGGGCAGGTCGAAGTTTAGTGGAACTGTATCACATCCAAGGTCCAAACCCTTAGCAACCGGACGCCCAACCAGCAATAGCCATGGAAGGGGACGCAGCCGACCGCAACCACACGGGGGAGGGGCAGGGAGGAACCCACACCACGGGGAACCACGGAAAGGAGGGGGGATACCATGGGGTGGGGGGGGGGGGAGGTGGGGCCTAGCAGCGCTGCACCATGTACACATACGTGTTCTTGCACACTGAAGATACACCTACACCATTATGACACACACATGTGCACATACACATGTGTATGCTATGTACATACAATAGCACTTGCACACGGCAACATTGATCGCCGTGGTCTCTTCACTGTATGACCGCTGATAAGTACACTGCGTACGAGCAGGTGCATATGCTGTGGGTAAGCTTGTGTCTCTCTATGTGTGTATATACATATATATATATATATATATGGATACACAGCCGTACATGCATGCATATATGTTATATTATTTGACATGCATGTGCTTAACCACTTATTCTTACGCACTCGCTCACTTTAACTACAGGAAATGTACAGATTTTTGTGGGTAGGCGTCATCACCCGTAAGTGGCTGGAGAAAGACACTGTGTCCACAACCACGTATGCAGAATGAGCGTAGTATGCACAGCTGCCTGCATGTCAGTTTGTGGCTCTTGGGATCAATCCCGGCAGAGATCTGCAATAGATCTAGATTTTAGATGACGCGCGAAGACACAAATGGATAAGATTCTACCGGGCCAATCAAACGAATGGCTTGGCAAGACAGTGTGGAACCCACCTGGGCAGACTTGAAGCCCAGCTTCTCTGACACCTGAACCTGGGATCGTCACACAGTTGACATATGGCAGCTTGTCGGCAGTTCCTTCCTACCAACATGTAGGTGTATGGGTATGTATGCATACAGATAAAACATTTTGGACACATAACATACTGGTGTCCCTTCTTTGCAGTCCAGTCTCCACGCGAGCCTCATGGCGCTCCAGCTCTTCAGATGCAAGGGCAGCAGAATTAGCTTCGTTCAGGAGCCATCCAAGCGGTTGCACATAGAATGGGTGGTATGGCCTGCGGAAGCCGACGTCATCTTAAGCTAGCAGCTGAGAACGCAAGGAAGTCCAGGCCTCTGTGCGACTTCGGCAAGCTCGCCCGCAGGCATCACCTGCCGGAATCGTGACTGGTCCCTGAACTGCTGGGAATCACGAAACTCATAACCGTCACAGGTTCAGGAAGCATCATGCTTGCTTTGAGAAAACAACTGGCGGTCCCAGGTGCCATACGACCCTCGACTAGAAGCCCACTGGGTAAGGACATTCTCTGTGCACAAGCCGACAGGACGGCGAACCTTAGAAGATCATGAACGTCACTTAGCTCGTAGACAAAATCAGACAGCATCAGCTGTGCCAAAAGGAAGAACAGGTGGCTGACGCACAGCACTCAACTCCTAACTCCTTAATTCAGTGCAGCCATGTGGCAACGTGCTCTTGCCTTAGTGGCGAGAGCACCAGGTTCTATGGTGATACGTAGTGTTGCAGGACTCTTCATGCCGAAAGACCAGCTCCGTTGGGTCCAGTGAGGGCATAAACCCGGCCCGGCTTCAACTCGAGCTTCAGCTTGACGTGCGCAGTGCCATTTCGGTGGTAAGTCAGGTCGCTAAACGTCAGACCACCTGCCGGAAACTTGTACGACGGACCTCAGCAATACGTCCTAAACCCCTAAGCCCTGAGCCTCCTAAGCCTGAATCCGAGTCCTGATCCCCAAACGACAAAAACCCTGGACCGTTGCCTCCCTGGGAGAAGTTGCAGAAGCTCGCGTCAGGCGACTCCCGGGCTTCTTGCAACCTGGAAGCCCAAGCCCCTAAACTATTGTGGGTATATATGCGTGCATGCATGGATGTATCTGTGAATGTACACGTAGATAAGAGAACATGTACATGTGTATGTATGCATGGATGTATGTATGTGTGCATGTTTGTACATATGTATATACATGTATATATATATGTATATATATATATATTATCATGCTTTCGTGTCTTGTGTAGTGTAAAAGAACATAAGTACACATCTAGGGGACTGTACGGGAATCAGAAAACTGATTATTCAGTTCATTTAGCTGCCGATCGTGTCTTCGCGTTTCAAAGACGTCCCTGTTGTTCGATCAACGAAACTTTCTATAACAGATACTTCCTTATGCCTCCTTTCCGCATCCGTGCTTCCATGCCAGTAAGTGCACGAGCTGTGTGGTTCAGAAATGTAGAACCATGCAATCGCTCTGTTGGGATCTGTTGGGGCGGCCTCTGCTGGAATGAAGCCAAACGTGTGTGGAGTTCGGCCAGGCGCTCCTGGTTGGACACCATCTGTGCCAAGCGCGCATCCTTCCGTGCAGTGGCTGCTGAGGCTTCAGGAAAACACACCTACCTCGCACTTGAGGAGACGGACGGGCTAGGCTGACTCACCGACAAAGCATTCTGAAACCTGGCCTCTCGGTATCGAGTCAGCAAGAAGTCAACAGAATCCTCAATAACTTGTGCGTAGACTGCGATGTCGGTTGCGGTGATCGATCCAAGCTCCATCATTCGCGCCAGCGCACACTCGATACCCACTCCTACTATGTTAGTATAGTAGATCCAGTCCAAGAACCGACGAAAAGAACTCAGACACTTCTTCCAAGCTGTCAGCTGAAATATCTCCTCTGAAAGATGCTCCCACCGCCTTGCCACCAAAGTCGCTGCACCCGTTCTGCTAATCGTCTCTGCATGCGCGACATCGTGTTCCTCGATCTTCCTCCTTCTGGACAGCCTCGTCCGCAAGTATTTCGTGACTTGCTCGATGTTCCGAGTCAAAGTCGAGAATGCTCGTGCCCTGCCGAAATCAAGACCAACACTCACAGGAAGAACTGCCATCATCAAGCCCGGCTGGCTGAGCAGCGTGTCTGACATGAGAAGGATGTTTGGAAGTCCGAACAACTTCTTCTCCACGAGAAAGTAGCAGTCGTACATCAGCTCAGTTACGGACTCGGCGTAGGCATCCACAGTGTGATCGGAGTCGAGCACGACCTCTAAGCGGTTGTACGCGTAGTCTCCACTTGAGAAGAAGGTGTCCACGCGAAGATGCAGATCAACTTTGCAAAGAAATATGTAGAGAGACAAAGCATTGGCAGTCTCCATGATCGTACGCTGTATCATGTAAGGAGCTGCCACGGACCACATATACAAGCCCACACGCTGAACAAAAGTCCACGCGTTCAACTTGCCATCAGCGACATCCAACAGAAGGTTTGTTCGAGCTTGTAAGCTTCGCATGTACCATATGCCCACATAACCCAAGGATACTTGAACATAGCCCGTCACAATGAGAAGTTCACAAACCTCTTCCTCAAACTGGCGAGTGCCTACAATGCTCTCAACCGACTGGTATGCTGCTGCCAGCTCGCGCAAGGGCAGCAGCCACTTGAGGACCTCAGCCAAGTGCGGCACCGAAGCGGCCGCACCAATGCAAGCCAAGAGCATCCAATGCAGGCGCAAAGCAAAGCGGTCATGAGCAATGCGCCCCACCAACAAAGCTGTCACTGCCTGCACGGTCTCCAGTGCCATGTCCTTCTGTAGCCCCGTTAGCAACACAAGCACAAGAATAGCTACACCCATCACGGGAAGCCAGTCCCTTGCCAGAAGAGGTGCCACGCCGTATGAAGCGAGGTGCGAGACAAAAAGTCCACCAAAGTCTGAGATTCCCCGGAAGGTGCCTTCAGCTGCGGCCTGGCGTGCAGCCGTCAGGCTGAGTAGGGCAGCTGCACCCATGGCGCCTGAGGCGAGGACTTTGAGAGATCGTGGCTCCTCACACGGGCATGGCAAAATCCATCGGGCATAAGCTGCCGGTAGCGCGAAGGCTACTATGTCCGTCTTCAGGGATTGAAAGAGCTTGTCTGCCAAGTCGTCCGCTGCAACATCGAAGTCGGTCCACTGTGACCAGCGTGCCGCAACCAGGGCGAGGATCAAAACAAACAGCGACCCAGACGTGAGCAGTTGTGCTGTGGACACCATGGCGCTCACATCCTACTCAGCCCTGTCCTATGCTCCTCTTGACTCGTTGTAACGTACTATCCGGAGCCTATACGTCAGAACAAGCAGGCCTAGTGTCCGCAATAAACTCGAAGGACATGTGAGACTATCGTGCCATGAGCAGTGAGCAAGCATGCACGCAAAGGCGCTGGACTCCACAAAGTCCCCGCCTGTCCCGAGCTTCTTGCGATCATTCTCACGTTCGCGTTCACGGCGCTCCATCTTCAGCTGTCGTTCTTGTTCTCGCCTTTCTGCGCTCGCAGGGCTCCCCGACAGGGCTCAGAACTAAGGGATCGGCTCAGCGGGCGTCTTCACTGCCTCTCCGGGTGGGAGTCGCAACAGCTGTGGACGGGGACAGGCGAAGGCAGCGTCGCCTTCGCTTGTAGCTGGTCAAGGCGCAAGTCGTCACGTCGGACTTCCTCTACGTTCAGGCGCACCTGACACCGGCCGACGCACCGAACAGTTTCGACTCAGTTTCGACCATTTGGATTCTCGCAGTGTCGCATGCACAGTCTTGGAATGGACTTGCTGGGGGCGCTAGGTTCCCAGCATCTGGCGGCTCCATGCCCTTGGACCGGGCATAACGCCTGCGTCGGTCGATGTGCTACCAGGCTTTCTAGAAAGATCGCTGCGTGCTGGCAAGTAGACCGGCCTGTAGTGTTTGTACAGATCTCTCAGAAGTGTCGCCACCTAAGATGAGCAATCTGAGCCGATGCAAGCCCAAAACCTACCACTCCAGTCAATGCTCTGCTAACTAGGGATCACGCAAGTGCAGACTTGCTTAAAGTACGCTTGGCTGAGCATGGCGCCTGATCGACGGCGGACACCTGGTCAGATACTTCTGGTCTAAGACAATTACGCAGGCTGCTCAGACTTGCCCCAACCCTTCTGCAACGCTCTCCTGTGTGCTCTGCTTCGGCAGTTGCTTCTGTGCTCATGCTGGGCTTTCCGGCATAATCTGCATACTCCGTGCAGCTCACGTTTAGCTGCAGGGGCATGTTAGCCTCGCATCGAAGGTGGCGAACACTAGCATGAAGAGCTTGGCTGCCGCAGCCTCCTTGCCGTCGGAGCCTTCCAAAAAGCCGCTGCCAATGCCCCGCAAACGAACCTCCACAGCTTGCCACATTCAATGACGGGTCGGGGCAACGCGAGCCACGTGCCTTGGCATTGCAATCATCAGCTATGCGGCGCATATTGTTTCCAGCCTCCAGTCTGAAAAACAAGTGCTTGCCGCAGCGTGCTGTAAGTAGTTTACCACTCTTTACGTCCTCCTCAATCCCAGACCTTTTTGACGCTGTCCGACCGCAGCTGCTAACTAGAGCAGGCCTTCCCAAGTATTCTCTTGACGAGGCAAAACTCTTCGTCATCTTCCAATCCTGAGTCAAGAACTCGGAGAGAGGAATGTACGGTTGCACGCAAACTGTTGGCAAACAACACCAGCGCTCTCACCAGAAAGAACATGTCCACTGAACATACAGAATAAACATCATTGCAACATACTGAAGCTGCTACCCACTTGGAAGACGCAGATGTACTTCTGGTTCTCCCCTGCGCAAGGCAATTGCGATTGTATGTTCGCAGAAAGCAAAACCCACAGACCGAAGCCGAGATCCATTGTTACACTTCGCTGAACTTCCTAATACTTCTTAGTCGATTGTACTCTACGGCCTTCTAGCATCCTTCTCCGCTACTATTCGCCACCTCCACCCAGTGTTTTTTTTCAGAGGTTGCGGCGCAGTACTCTGATGTACCTCCCCGCCTTCGATCTCTCCCTGGGGCAGAATCAGCGAGTGGAGCCCTCTCCGGGCAGCCTGACAGACGGCAGACTCCGACTCCAAGAGGCATTCAGGAGTGGGTGCATGCATCTGTATGTATGCTTGCCTCTTGTAATTCTGCTGGGTTTAGAGGTCTTTGTGCGACCCTCAGGCCATTGGTCTGCACAACCACCCCCCCATGTTATAGAGTGTTCGTCTCGCGCTCTCTTCTCTTTTTTTTTTTTTTTCCTCTCTCTCTCTCTCTCTCTCTCTCCTTCCGCCGGGCATGAGGGGTTGGTTAGACCCCCCGGCAACTAGGGCCCCCCCATATTATGTGGGGACTTTGGAGGGGTGTGAAAGTGTTTTGTTTTCTTTCTCTCTCTCTCTCTCTCTGTCTCTGTCTCTCTCTCTCTCTCTCTCTCTCTCTCTCTCTCTCTCTCTCTCTCTTAAAAAGATAGGAAGAAATATTGCCATATTATATACCATATATATGTATGTGTAATGTGCCCGATACCTTTAGGGTCTATATAACCGCGGTTTGTTGTCTTCAGCACATAATGGAAAGCAAAATATAGGGTATAAGCACAGCCCACAGTACAAAGCCACGACCTGAAAAGTTTCGGATCGACTAGGCTATATTTTTCTATCAAGTAATTTTCGCAAATTATTCGCATTCAGGGAGACGAGTATTATATAAACAGAACATCGAGTGTTGATCCCAACACTGTCGATGAATAAACATTCGTTGTGATGACACATTTCAGTGTATAGAGTCCATACATCTTCCAGGAATGATGTATCGTCGTGGAGATATGCATAGCACTGTCAGCAGTATATCGGCAACACGGACAAATTGTCCTGTCCCAATATTTCACAATTCGACTTATTGTTGACTTGCCAGCGTTTGAGTAATTGCATACGACATATCCACCCAAGAATCACGTAATAAGCATGCACGCTGTAATATGGCATAAATTTGTTTGTAATTTCCGCACAGGCCACAATGCAAAACCTGACAGGTTCGGTACTCATGGATCAGATGTGTTCATATGACAAATTATGGGAATACATACGGCATGACACATCCATATCACATGATGCTGTCGCAACACTTACTACAACTCGTTGCCTGTTATATTCTGTTGTTACATATGCTACATATATCTACTGAGGCAAGCCAGGTCTGAACAAACTAGTTCCTTGTCAATAGGGTTTCAATATGAGGAGTGCATGTAATGTATTGGTTCGCCCTGTCCAGGAAGTGAAGAGAAACATTATAGCCCCTGCAATGTGCCAGTTTCTTCTGTCCGTAAGAAGGGCTTTCCGATGTATCAGCTTCATATCAAGAGGGCTTCAGTAGGATGAGTGGGCGTGACAGGTCAAAGGCTTGTAATGTGTTCGTTTGTTCTGTCTGGGGGCTTTCGAATGTATAAGTTCCTCGCCAAAAGAGTTTCGATAGGCGGGAGTGGAGTGACACATTAGAGAGTCTATATTGTGTCAGTTTGTTCTGCCCAGGGGCCTTCCAATATACAGGGTCACTTCAGTGTATAAGTTCCTTGTCAATAGGCTTCCATGGGGAATGGAGTAACACATTAGAGGGTCTGTAATGTGTCAGGTCGCTGTGTCCAGGAGCCTTCCAAAGTAGGATTTTCCTTGTCAATGGGATGAAGTGACACATTAGAGGGCTTGTAATGTGTTAACTCGTTATGCCCAAGTCAATAGAGTTTGAACAGGGGAAGTGGAGTAACAGTTTACAAGGCATGTAATGTGCCAATCTGTTATGTCCTGGACTTTCCAGTGTATAAGTTCCTTGTCAGTAGAGGGTCAATCGGAGTGGGTGGAGTGACACATTAGGGTGCCTGTAATATGTCAATTTGATATGCCCAGGTACAGGGGCCTGACAGTGTATAAGTTCCTTGTTAGTAGGGTTTCAGTAGGAGAAATGGAGTGACACATTAGAGGGCATGTAATATGAATAATGACACATTAGAAGGCCTGTAATGTGTCAGTTTGTTTTCCCATGTGCCTTCCAATGTATCTCTATACATATCAGATCTGATGTGATCACAGCATTAGCCAAGAAGGATATCACGTAGTTAATAGTCTTCACGATCTTAACAAAGGCGCAATTATCCGTATCGAAGGTATACATTCCCATGAAAAAAATCCCTATAGATCCCTTCACAGATCCCTTGTATGGAGCCCTCATAGACAGCCTTTATAGATTCGTATAGAAACTTTATAGATCCCCTATATAGAGAACTTATAGAAACCCCGTATAGATCAACAAATGGAGTTCTTTGTAGAAAACTTTACAAGATCCCTTACATGGAGCTTTCATAGACAACTGCTATATATTCCTTACCCTTTGTAGAAACCACATGGAAGCCCTGTATAGATCCCTCGTATGGAGCCCTTCTGGAAAACCCTTACAGATTGCTTATAGAAATCTTATAGATCCTCTATGTAGAGACCTTATAGAAACCCACTATATAAGAAACTATAGATCCCTTACAGAGAGACTTTCTAGAAACCCATTATGGATCCCTCATATGGGGCCTTTATAGTAAGCCCTGTTACAATGTATGTAGATGCGATGTGGTAAGATATTCTTGATATAGTAGTTAAAATAAATCGATTGTATTACAATTCGCACAATGCCTATGAAATTACCTTTAAGAATAGAGGGAGCGGTATTAAAACCAATGAAACCGGCAACGAAGATGATTACGATGAAGAAGATGATGAAGATGATGGAGATGATGAAGATGATGGAGATGATGAAGATGATCAAGATGATGCAGATGATGCAGATGATGAAGATGATGGAGAGGGGGTGGGGTGCCCGCAGCCCTGTTGGACCCTAATGGGTTCGTGGTGGGGGTGGGGGTAGTGGGTGGGGTGGGGGAGGGATGTGAATGGGCAGGGGGTTTGTGCTGGCGTGGTGAGGGGTGGGTTTGGGGGAGTGGGTGATAAAGGTGATAAACCGATGATAAATGATAACAGGATGGTGATAACGATGATGGGGAGGAGTAGGTGGTGGGTAGTGGTGGCTGGCGGGTGCTGGGTAGTGGTGGGTGGTGGGTGGTGGGTGATGGGTGGTGTGGTGGGTGGTGTGTGGTGGGTGGTGTGTGGTGGTTGGTGGGGAGGGTGTGGGTGGTGGGCGTGGCGGGTGAGGGGTGCCGGGTGGTGGATAATAGGTGGTGGGTGGTGGGTGGTGATGGGGTACGAGGCAAGGGGCTGAGATAGGGGGTGGGTAGTGAGGTATGAAGGGGGCAGGAGGGTGGAGTGGGGGCAGGGGTGTATAATCCCTGCGAGCCGCGACCGAGCAGAAAGCCTGTAAATGCCGCGTTCAAAAAACGGCCAGGGATCCCACACATCTGCGGGCAAAATCTGGCGGAAGTGATCCGCCGCCGAGCAAAAAGCCTGTAAATACCGCATTAAACAAAGGGCCAGGGATTTCACACATCTGGTGGCAAAATCTGGCGGAAGTGAGCAGTCGGTACTTCTGTCAGATTTTGCCAACAGATGTGCGAAATCCCTGACCCTTTGTTTAATGCGGTATTTACAGGCTTTTTGCTCGGTGGCGGATCACTTCCGCCAGATTTTGCCCGCAGATGTGTGGGATCCCTAGCCCTTGAAGTGGTGGGTGAGACACGGCGGTTTGGAGTTCTCTCAAGGGGGCAGGGGTGGGGTGGGTGGGTGATAGTAGAAGGGGGGGGGTGGGGGGGTGACCCGTGGGCCCCATCCACAGAACCCCAGGATTTCAATTATTTAAATAATTGAAATAATTGAAATGGGGCCGATTTCAATTATTTCAATTATTTGGGCCCTTTGGCGGATTTAAATAATTGAAATAATTGAAATCCGAAGGTTCAGTGGGCCCAAGCCACCAAATCCAGGGATTTCAATAATTGAAATAATTGAAATGGGGGGGATTTCAATTATTTCAGTTATTTCAATTATTTGGGGCCTTTGGCGGATTTAAATAATTGAAATAATTGAAATCCCCCCATTTCAATTAGTTCAATTATTTCAATTATTTAAATGATTCAAATCGGTGGGATTCGTGGCTTGGCACAGAACAGCCATCGATTTCAATTATTTCAATTATTTGGGCCCTTTGGCGGATTTAAATAATTGAAATAATTGAAATCCGAAGGTTCAGTGGGCCCAAGCCACCAAATCCAGGGATTTCAATAATTGAAATAATTGAAATGGGGTGGATTTCAATTATTTCAATTATTTGGGGCCTTTGGCGGATTTAAATAATTGAAATAATTGAAATCCCCCATTTCAATTATTTCAATTATTTAAATAATTCAAATAATTCAAATCGGTGGGATTCGTGGCTTGACCCAGAACAGCCATCGATTTCGATTATTTCAATTATTTCAATTATTTAGGCCCTTTGGCGGATTTAAATAATTGAAATAATTGAAATCCCAGTGGGCCCTAATTGAAATGGGGGGGATTTCAATTATTTCAATTATTTGGGGCCTTTGGCGGATTTAAATAATTGAAATAATTGAAATCCCCCCATTTCAATTATTTCAATCCCTGGATTTGGTGGCTTGGGCCCACTGAACACCCTTCGGATTTCAATTATTTGGGCCCTTTTGCGGATTTAAATAATTGAAATAATTGAAATCAACTCTGCTGATTTCAAGTATTTCAATTATTTTAAATAATATTAGTCATGCAGAAAAGAATAGGGCGTAAAATAGACCCTAGAGGCGCCTCTCATATATATATATATATATATATATATGGATGGTTGTCAAAATTATGGTCCCGTTTTGGGTCCATATTATAGTACGGCACCTAATATTTAGGGTACCCAAAAAGGGACCATAGTTTTGACAAACATCCATATACATATATATATATATATATATATATACACATATGTATATACACTTTTGTATGCATGTAATTTCCGTGTGTCGGTAGAGAGAGAGACAGAGACAGAGACAGAGACAGAGACAGAGACAGAGAGAGAGACAGAGAGAGAGAGAGAGAGAGAGAGAGAGAGAGAGAGAGAGAGAGAGAGAGAGAGAGAGAGGGAGAGAGAGGGAGAGAGAGGGAGAGAGAGGGGGAGAGAGGGGGAGAGAGGGGGAGAGAGGGGGAGAGAGGGAGAGGGAGGGAGAGGGAGAGGGAGAGGGAGAGGGAGAGGGAGAGGGAGAGGGAGAGAGCGCGTGTAGGTAAGTGAGTCTAGTAGGCAGGCAGGGGCAGGTAGGTAGGCAAATACTGGTAGGTGGGCCGGCCGGGTGGGTAGGTGGGGAGGGAGTGAGAGAGGGAGGGAGTGAGGTTGGCAAGCAGGCAGGCGCGTGGGCATCATTGTGGAACTGTAGACTCTGTCTTCTGTCCGTCTCTTTGTACACGCACACATATCGGCATCTTACCTTCGCCTTCAGAAAATCTTGCAGCACCCGCAAACGTTCAATCGTCTTGTAGCTACGTAGTAAGTAGTAAGCTCAGGAACTGTTCCGTGGCAAGTAACCGCTGGACGCGTTGCAGCACAGCACACTTCTGAAGAATCCCAAGCTTGTGACTCCAGGGCATATCTGGTAAACCGAGACAACGAGTCTGTTGCGAGTGTCACGAGACAGTGTCCAGGCAAATCACGAACTCTATCGCTGCGCACCTCTTCTCTGCGCTCGCGCCGTTTCCTTCGCAGAAGCCATCACTTCGGAACGTGTTGCCCTTCCACATGTGCTTCAGCGACACTTCCACAAATTTCAGCCACTCCTCTGCGTATCCTCTTCAAAAGGTCCGAGCATCCACGCCTCACACAACTTTGCATGAGACCATTGCGGCACGGGAGATGAAGCAACACCGCAGACATAGAGAGAAAGGATGCAATTGCTTCAATTCGGACCCATCGCTTGTCAACAACTTGTGTAAGACAGCTCGCCTTGATAAGGTAGGCCTCCGAAGCCACTGACCTCGTGGGGATACTGCCATGCTCTGCTCCTCAAACAATCCCTAGACCGGATGACTGGGTTTCTGGCTCCTCTGTAGGATTTGGGCCGCAATAGAGGAATTCGTCATCTGAGTCCTCAGCGAAGATCAAATCTAAACTTGACAACATACCTCCAGGTGCTGCGAGCAACGGTCCTCCAGTATCTCACTAGCTGCGACAAGACGTGGAAACGTGAGGACCTGCGCCGGAAAATAGGCAGCACTGCCAGATAATGCCCTTTGTACTTTCTCACGCAAGGTGGATTCTACATAACCCGCCACGGACCTTTAATGCCTTTGGTGCAGCACCTCGGACAAACGCTGGACTGTGTCGTCTAACTCAACTTGATGCTTCTGTCAAGTAAGCTTTTCACTCACTGTCACTGGCTGCGGCTTTGGCCTCGGTATGGTGATCTGCTGCTGCAACACCCATGTCACCCAAGTCACCCCTCACTCAGCCACTGGCTGCGGGGGCTTAGCAGGAGGTTCCGCCGATGGTTCTGACAAAGTTTCGCGGCGTCACTGGAACAGGACACCCTGCGTGCTGACTCGAAACAGGTCCTCCCACGCCAGACCCGATCGTGGCACTGGCTGCCTGCAAGAAGCAGGAAGTACACGATGTCACACGATACAGAAAGGCTTGACAGCGCATGCAGACAGTAAGCTTCTGGCTGCCGACTCATCCAGCGACGCAGTGGCAGTGAGACTCGGCAAATGCACGCGCAATGCTGATAGGGTAGCGCCATGGGGAATAATGTAGAATCTGCGTGCAGAATGACTTTGCATCGTCTTGGCAGACGTTGGCAGGGACGCCGGCTCCGCATCGCCAACATCTGTGGTCTGTACCGAGTCAACACCCGCCTTAATCCCCAGGAGTTGAGGGACGGTAAAAACATGCGCTACACACATCGATTGATTCCCGACTGTTCTCAGGCCACTGCTTTCACTGAGCCGACGTGTGCTCCGTCCTCTTCAAGGACCTACCACGAGTTGCAGATTTCACCAAACCTGCACAACTACCTCAGTCGCATGCTCTCGCTACCAGACGTCCACACGAGAGTTTGCTCGGGAGCATGGGTCCAGCCTTCGGAGGGCTTGTCATGCCGGCTGTGCAGAAGCAAAACGATCAAATAGCCTGTCGGGTGGAGTTCTGCGCGACATGACCGAAAGGCACCCATCCTTACAGTTTAGATGAAAGAGGAAGATACAAATGCTGATGATGCCTTCGGTTTGCTGCGGGTGGCAAGATCAGGGTCAGCAAGAACCTGGACTGAGCCGCCTGTACTGTGCCTCAAGTATATCACATCATGCGGCGCTGTAGCAGTGGGTTGCCGCTGCAATCAGCATGAAGAATGACAACCATGACAACAGCAGCCAGCAGCAACAATCAGCAGGATGGAATCTGTCACAGGAAGTGTAACCACGACAAATACCAATACAAACACCAAGCAAGACGCAAATGTCGGGCGAGACCAACCAATCCCGACCCTCCTTCCGCTGTCCCAGAGGTTTCGTGACAGGAAACGGGTGTGTTACGGATAGCTTTAATCACGGATCCATGAGGTACATGACGAGAGAGCCACGGGACGAGATGGCAGCGGTCACACAGGCAAACACCATGCTCACCTGGTGCTCCCCCTTGGAGAAATGTTGCTTTCAACACGCAGGTCTCGCCTGCGGCTGCAGGGTCAGCAACCCTGGACGGTGCACTCCGCCTCTCAAGGCCAAACCCAAGGAAGGAATCTCACGCGTTCTGAAGCGCAAAGCAAAGCTGAAGGCCTAGGTCAACTTCAGGAGAAGACTACAGAATGCGGCCTCGGCATCACTTCCGACTGACACTGCCAAACACTGGCAAACGCACAATGTCTGCACCCAAACTCAAAGGTCGAATACAGCGTAGGCAAATCATGCCGAGTAAGGCCCGTGCTAAATCCAGAGTGGCTGCCCACGAATTTGCAGGCGGCTTGGTGGAATCACTCAAAACAGATGTTTGGCAGCGTGGGCTTGTCGTAGCTAGGCTTGCCGAGATAAGTGCTGACCCAACTTCCTGCTTGAAGGTTTGGGTTGTTCTCATCTCAAATGAATTGCTAGTGCCAAATGCAGGGGGTGACGGTCAAGCTTTGCATCACCCCTGTGCTATCTTGTGCTGAAAGTGTGGCTGCCGGAAGTGTCGTTGCATGGCTGTGCCCTGGAGTTGCACGGATGCCTGTCGAGCCAGTTGCATAAGCACCCACACAAGTCACACAACCCGCTCAAGGGATCTCAGGCATCTGCTGGATATCTGCCGTGGTGCGAGGACACTTTCGGAGACAGCCACATCGGCAAGCTGAAATGCTGAAACAAGACTGGTGGTTGAATGCTCCAGCTGAGGAAGTGGACGGCAGAAGTCCTTCTTCGCACCTCTCGCCATTTTCTCACACTTTTTCAACATGCGGGCGCGTCGTCAGCGCAGGTGAACACACTTGAGAGATAGCTCCGGCTGCTACGCGGAGTGTGCGTCAAGACTCATTAAAGACAGGGCTCGGGCAACAAGTTCTGTCTACTGCACAAGTTTGGAAGTGCAAAAGATCGGATGAATGCGAAGCCCAGACGTGGGATGGCGAGCAGGTGCCATGAACCGCAAGGGCATGTTTGATTGAAGACCTGGCTGCTGAAAACCTACGTGCTTGCTGCATGCTTGCCACCAGCCCGGCTATAGGCCAAAGTGAGCGGGCTACCGGCATTGGGGACCGTGAAATCCTGCAAAATGCGTAGTGGACTCTGCTGTGATCCATTATTAGCGCTGTTTGCCAGTCGTGCCGTGCTGCAGACCAGTCCGCCGGAAGCCCGATGTGGCGGCTTTGAGGCAAAACTGAGCCGTAGAGAGAGGGACTGAATTCACCCTGTGAGACGCTTGCGAAAGCATGTGAAAGCTAAGCACAGCAAAGCAATTCCGGTTTGCGGAAACGGCTCTAAAACTCAACTCTGCACAGTCTGCGGTTCAGAGCTGAACAAGGGCCGCAAGGAAGCCCAGCTCAAGCGCGGAAGCAGTCAAAGAAGGATGCGATTCTTACGAGAGTTGTCCACGAGCGCGGCCGCCGAATCCCTTTAGTCGGTGGGGACTCCTCGAGCACTCCATCTTTCTTGCAAAGAACCATGTCTAGCAGTACATCCACGACTATGAACAGTATGTAAAGTAATGCGATCCCGTGCGGTGTACGCAAAGTAAGGGAATGTGCTGTCATGTCTCGTCATGCCATTCCATGCAATGTATTGCAAAGCAACCTGATGTCATGTAATGTAAGTACTCAGTCGGGAGGTAGGTATAGGTAAGGTAGGTATTTGAGCAGGTAGGTAGGTAAGCAAGCAGGCAGGCAGGCAGGCAGGCAGGCAGGTTTGTACAACTGCGCGGCATGGACATGAACATCGAGATGATAGGAAGTTCGATCAGATAGACGGGCAGAGCGGTAGACAGATGAGTAGGTTCCAGATGGCAGGCAAGAGCCTGTTTCCACATGCGCAACACGTGTGCGGATGATTACGTACTTGCACAACCATCTGGACGCGAACCTGCACGCACGCACACACACACACACACACACACGTATAAACGTACATGCATGCATACAGCCAGACATGCACGCCTACCAGTACATGGCATTCCTTTACTGCATAGTTACATACTGCATGCGTGCATACACGCAGACATATGAATATGCACACACGAGCGCCCATGTATGCAGGCAGACAGACAGATAGACAGACAGACAGACAGACAGACAGACACGCATGCAGATTCATGTACGTGCACTTCTACAAAGTAAAATACGTTTCGGCCTGAGAGGGTGCGAGAAACAACCTATATACCACTTCGAACAATCTCGTTCTAGGAGATATCAGACCACGTGATCTCATCATACCATATCGTGACATGCCATGCCTTGCGAACCCTACCTGCCACGTGACATCAAACGACCATACGCAAAGCGAGAAGCATATTTGGACATACTTGCTTACCGTGTGTTTCTCTCTTCACCATGAAACCATGACAAGAAAGTCCAGCCCTGGTCCTTCCAGTGCAGGCATAGATGGCGCCATGGGCAGGGGAGCATACAAGTCATCGAGCTCCTTCTTTGTCGGGGAGAACCATGTCCCTGGCGGACCCCTCGGTGCAGCCGACCACGGGCGTCTGGTTCCAGCGGCCGAGTCTGCTAGCTCCAAGTTCGTCGGCAACTGATCTCGTGGATCCGTCGCGTTGCATTCGGACGTGCTTTGTTCTGCTTCCGGGGAGGCACAGGCACTAAAGGTTGACAAGTAGGACCCTGTGCCAGGAGATGCAGTGAGTGTCGTGGTCGATACTGGTGATGGTGGCTCTTGTGGCACAGCTGGTTTCTTCGTGGCTTCTGCAAAGCTGTCCGGGCCTTTGGACTGGCGGCCGCTGCTGGGCTCTTTGCTCTCTTTTTCTTGGAGCTCCTTGCCTTTGCCGCCTTTGCCCTTGCCCTTTTTGGCTTCTTCTCTCTTTGCTGCGCCTGAAGCAAGCACATGCACTGCGAAAGATCCGAAGTCTTGACTCATGACCTCATGAAGCAGACATCCTGAGGGCAGAAATCCCAAGACTTCGGAAACACCTGCTGACTCATGCAACGAGCGCAACTTTCAGAGACGATGTCAGTGGTCTGCAGAGGTTGAAATCCCGGCGAATACCAGAAGCAGCCTTGCAACTAGTAGCAAACAGATGTACTAAGACCAACCCTAAATGGCAAAAATTACGAGGTGTCAAGAAGGATGCACTCCGGACCCCAAGCAAGGGCCTTCAGATCGGGAGGTCTCGAAGGCGCCAATGGGAGCTATGCCAGGCATCACGGTCAAAGCAGCCTCTGTGAAGGTTTCCCATGCAAGAAGGGGTTTTTAAGAACGGCATCGAAACACAAAAAAAACATGTCAAGGCGTTTAGACACGTGATAGCAAGCAAACGAGGGCGGTACCACGGAAAATCACCGGTACGGCGGCTGAGCCTCTGGCATCAGCCGGGAGTCGAGTCAGCGTGCCAGCCCCACGCGGTGCCTTGGAGCTAATATCCCGAACACACAAGTCCCCAAGTCCCAAGCTCCAAACTGCACAGCAACACAACATCGAAACCCCTTGAATCCTCGACCCTTACCAACCCACCCCCCTCCAAGGAAAGACACACATGAAGCTCTGAACGCTAAACCGCTAAACCCTAAGGAACCCATGTGGAGTCCAAAGGGCATTTCGACCAGGTTTCCGAGAAGCCCTTTCCCAGTCTTCCTGTGAAAAGCATTCGTAGAGGACGGAATCCTAAACTGCCAGAGACCCGAAAAGGAAGGGTGCGGTGTAATCGGGTCTTAAAGCGTGTACCGTATAAGGGCCTCATCCAGAAATCGAGGATTTGCACTACATGTGCTGGTTGCCTCAAATGCACCTCGCCAACTACTTTGGAACCTGCCCTTAACCAATTCATGTCGGTCTCCTGGATTCGTTGGGCTCTCCAATCTCTGTCCCGTCGCTGGCGACCTCAATCAACATGTTGGGCGGACTAGCGAGCAGCATCATGTGGCAGTTCGCGAACTCTGATCAATCACCAGTAATTTCGACACCAAACTGTCAGCAACCCCTGCATGGATCAGCCCAGAGATTCGAGGAAGGGCCCTGCTGTATATAACTATCTATCGAAATATATATATATATATATATATATATATATATATATATGCTAGCCCCCCCCCCAAGACCAACCCTGAATTCCCTAAATTCCCTAATTCCCTACCCATTGGATTTAGGGAATTCCCTATTTCCCTACCCCATGTGTTGGATTTAGGGAATTCCCTATTTCCCTAAATTCCCTAATTCCCTACCCCATGTGTTGGATTTAGGGGATTCCCTAATTTCCCTAAATTTCCTAAATTCCTTAAATTCCCTAAATTCCCTACCCATGAACGGAAACCACTGAATCTGATCCATGGGGGTCAGATTTAGGGAATTTAGGGAAATCCCTAAATCCAACACATGGGGTGGGGAATTTAGGGATTTTCGGGAATCCGACACATGGGGTAGGGAACTAGGGAATTTAGGGAATTTAGGGAATTCCCTAAATCCAACACATGGGGTAAGGACTTAGGGAATTTAGGGAATTAGGGAATTCCCTATAAGGGTTAGGTTTAAGGATTTTAGGGAGTTTAGGGAATTAGGTTATTCCCTAAGTCCAACAGATGGGGTATGGAATTAGGGAATTTAGGGAATTTAGGGAATTAGGGAATTTAGGGAATTCAGGGAATTTAGGGAAATTAGGGAATTTAGGGAATTCCCTAAATCCAACACATGGTCCTGGCTGGGAGTCAGGAAAGTAAGGCAATGCGCTCAAACCAACACATGGGGCTGGAAATTAGGGTATGTAAAGACTTTAGGGATTTAGGGAGTCTGCAGGAACTCACGCATTCTGTAAATTCGAGGCATGGAAGCAGTGATTAGAGAATTTAGGGAACTCGAACTCGCGACGTCGCCGGTTGACGGGTCTGTGCAACTGATACTTGTAGTAATATTGATATTATTTTGAAAACTTTGAAAACTGTAATACTCGTACAAGTACTAATACTTATAGTAATACCACTGGTGAAACTGATAGTAATGCTAGTATGAATACTGATGTTCCCAAGAATACTAGAAATCATGTACACTGTAAGAATAGTCTTGATGCGAATACTAATATACATACTATAGCCAGTATTATCGCTAGTATGAATATTGGCTATGCGTATTCGTGAAACTACTCATTTTCGGAGTACTCATAGTTGCTAATATTAGCATTAAGGCTAGTGCGAACGTGCATACTAAAATGCTCATACATGAATGTTAGCATTCGTATTTATATCAGCATTGGTAGTACTAGTAGAGTAACCTCAAGTTTCATATTCCGACGAATACCAACGCATGTTTTGTTCATACTAATTTTAATTCTACTACTACTACTATCTACTCCTAGTATTGAAAAATTGTACCAATACCAATTTTAGAACTGATGTGAACACGAACTTTAATGTTCTTGTATGCATAGTAATATTCGTTAGCATTAATGTATAGGAAAACTAATGTTCTTACGAATACTAATAATCATGTTCCCCTTTTATATTCATATAAGAATCGTCATGCCTAGATACGTACTAATGCTAGTACTCATGCTAATACGAGTATTAATACCAATACAAGCATAGGTATGAATATTCCTACGGGTATTTATGCTCATGTTCTTAACAAAATTATTCTCAGTACGAATACCGACATTAATAGTCTCTTTAGAACAATATTGATATTAGTATGAACACTAATACTTCGGCTAGTACGAACATGCATAATACTAGCAAAATTATTTGTGCTCATACAAATATAGAAAGGTTATTACATACTCATATTAATATCAATGCCAATATGAATTTACAAACATCATATTAATGTCAATATCGTTTTTGTAATGCATACTAAAAAACACATCAGAATAAGGCACAAGAAAATGAATGCATCAGATTGTTAAAAACTCAATGTTTTCATTTACCAATATGTATGGTTATAGTATTATACTAATATACAAATAAAATAATATACTAATATACTGGGAAACTGATATGCCAATAGACCATTTTAATATACCAATATACGAGTATACTGAAAACTGTTTCAGTTAATATACATCTTTTGTTTATATACCAATATACTGAATATACACATATGAATACTGATACACATAATTACTACGACTAAGTTTTTAAGGCCCAGCCCACGTCTAATATTAATACGAATACTAACACGAACACTAACACTAACACTGCTTTAGACATATATTGAACTAAAACTGGAGCACTAATACTCATATTAATCTTAAGATTAACACTGACGTTGACACTGACACCAGCATCAGCACTAACAGGAACATTAATCAAACGAATAGTACTATTGGACAGATACCAGCAGCATTGTTAGAACTTCTAAAATTAGTAATGACACAAAACTAATACTAATGCTAACGCTAGCAAAATATTAAGGTTACTACTCACAATCATTAAGGTTAAAACTTAGAACAAAATTAAGTCAAGACCAATGTTAACACTGTTTTTTTAAGACTGAAACTAAGAATAAGACTTTGACAAGATGACGATAATTAATAAAGGATGAGGCACACAAACTGGACTCTGACTTTTACCACTCCGACAAGACGCGCCCAGAGTGTAGATGGTGTCCATAAAACTGAACCCTGTTTTTTACCAGTCTGTCAAGAGGCGTCGAGAGTGCAAACTTTGTACGGGAACACAAACACCATCGGTATTTATAGTGGTTTCGGCTCTTATCCATGACGCTGTGAAGACAGTAGTGAGCAGGACAATGGTCGAGGTTGGTCCTGGGGGGGGGGGGGTTACCATATATATATATATATATATATATATATATTTTTTTTTATAGAAGTACCCTTGTAGAAAGTAACTTTAGGGTACCCATATAGTAGGTACTCAGGCACCAGCTCTGAGCCTCACGGGCAGCAGCAGAAACTTCGGCTGCTGCTCGGGCACCACCTCGCAAGGACATCCACGTCGGCCTTCTCAACATCAAGTTAGGGTTGATAGGGTATCTTGCTTAGGGGTGCTCGCATCGTGCTGCTCTCAAATGGGAACAAACCTTCTTCGCATCTTACATTAAGTCTTGAATCGAGGCCTTGACTCGTAGCCAAATGCAAAGGCCTGCCAAACCGGGCCCCCGCCTGCCCTCGCGGCTGCTCTGCGTCCGATGGGGGTGCTTGGCACCTCCAAGCTGCGGTGAGTTGAGATCCCAGTGAACAAAGTCACTAACTTCAGCTATTGCGCTCTCCTTGCCGGACTGAGGCCAATACCACAGCGAACGGCTGGTCATCCTTCCTCTTCACACAAGTTCTTCCCAATGCTGCTTGGTCACGCACGAGTGCAGCGCGTGCCTCGGAGTCTGCTCGTCTCCATCGCAGCCTTCACCTCTGCATACAAGGTGTGCAGCTCAGGGTTAATTTCTAGCTGACAGTGTGGCAATGATGGTGATTAAACACGACCTTGATGATGATGGTGGAGATGTTGCGGCACGAAGACGATGTATTGACGACGACGATGACTGTGATAATAGTGGCAGTGATGGTGATCGTGATGGTGGTGATGATGATGATGCCAGTGGTGCTGGTGGCGATGCCCAGCAACAGTACCGCTAAGAGTGCCGACCCACATGCTTCTTGCTCTTCATTCGTAACTTCAGCCCGTAGCCCGTTATCACCAACATCATACATCGCCCGTCCCACACCGAACCTCCATCTTTGACAGCCCCGCCTATGTCGAGCTTCAGAAATCTAATCACATGCATCATTGCAGCAGCGGCAGCAGCCAGCCTCTCTGCTCCACGCCAGGATCTGTTGATTCCGACGGAGACTGGGCTTTGGTCCTGGGCCAAGATTAAGAGAAACACAGATGCTACCGATGCTGCACCCTGCGCAGCTCTTCTTAGCTTACGGCATAGATGGCACAGATCTCTTTGCCAAGGGCCAGGTGGCAGCTCCAGAAGAGGCAGGAGCCTCGTGACATAGGCGTCGCACTTCACATGGCTTCATTCTTCAGGCCGCGTTCTCTTTGAAAGCCTCGCCTTCCCGCCCGAAAGCTTATCCAAGCGAAGATCGTCACGACGGACTTCCTCCACTGTCCACTGCACCTTGGGCATCTGAAAAGCCTGGGGCTGTGAGTTTCTACGCCGTGGCGTGCGTAAGCCGCTGACAGCTGGCGGCTGCATGCCCTTGGAGAAGCAGTACCGCCTTCGCGAACAAGTCGAATTCTGAGCTCGAGTTTTCCCGCGCTTGGTCAGAATTTCGCCGTCCACGCCTGTAATGCTGGTGGAGGTCTTGGAGTAATGACGCAACCTCACGTCGCAGCGAAGCTTCAGCGTTGCATCAAGACGCGTTCCCAGTCATATCCTGTGGTTATTCGTCTGGGGGCGCTGCCTTCTTCACTGCTGCCGCCTGTAGTGATGGCGACCAGCTCCCGTTCGGAATGTCATGCAATTCTGTTCAGACGATGCGCTTCGGGGCTGATTTCAACTGGCTCCAGGGCACCCCGCCGGCTCCAAGACAAGCCGACATCCGAAGTTCGTGCGCTGTGACCCTCCTCTCATCCCAGTCAATTCTACCTCCAGCCCCAAGTTTTTCGCCAAACCAGTCCCGACAACAAGCAGAAAGAGATGCTCAAATCTCTTCAAAACGAACTGTCGGCAGTAAGCGGCGTGGTCCCTCCCCGTCTGCACCGAACCAGGCCAGAAGAATCTTGCATGGTGCTGGACGAGCCCATTCCTGCGGCCTTCCTCTGCCGCTTTAGGCTTATCTCATCTCATCTCCATAGCTTGCGGCTTTGAGTCAGGTGGGCGATGGTAAAGCATCGAAGCCGGCGGTCTTGGGAAGTGTTGCATGAGCGGGGGCCGTGTTCGAAGGGACCCGGCGCTTCGTGGAAAGAGCCATTCTCGCCATCACAAGAACGTCGCGATGGTCATGACACTTTCTTTGTCTTCATCACCACTATCGACTATCCCCATCATCGTCGTCGGCCGTTGGCAGCAGCAGCTGCGGCAGCGCCAACGCCTACTGCCACCACCAGCATCATGATCACATCATCCGGGAAAGGCTCTCACATCACCAGTAGCAGAGCGTCTGGAGTCAGAGATCAGGGGACAGTGCACAAGGCCTCTACGCAGAAGTCTTGACAAAGAAGACAGAGGAACCGCAACAATGACTGCAGGCTGAACTCTCTAAGGTGCTGACATATTCCGCGAAAGTCACACAGCTCACATGAAGATATAAAGCCATATCAGCCTGCTTGACCCATCAAGCGTGTGGAATGGACTTCTTGCCGCCAGCACCGGCCTCCAAGCCGGTGGAGCCTTCCAAGTAGCCGCTTCCCCGGCCCCTCAAGCGCACCTGCAGCGTCCAACCCCGGACTAACCCCTGCCCCAAGGGCGGGCGCGCTGTGGCAATTTCCCCCTCATTCTGCCAGGCCTTGGCATTGCACTCGTCTGCAATGCGTCGCATGTTGCACCCGGCCTGCTGCAAATGAAGAGGTTCGCATCAATGTAGTCTAGTCCATCTATTCTTAACTGATAGGAAAAATATCTATCTAATTCTTGCAAGCTGTATTTGCCAACCCTGAACCCTGTGCAACCCTAAACTGTCATAAGAGAGCGAGCGGAGTGCCTTGCCAAGCAGCCTCTTGACCAAGCAAAACTCATCATCGTCTTCCAAACCTGGGGACCGGCAGCCAATTTGCTGTTTAGGGTTTAGGGTAAGTTGGTACGTACACGTCGTACTAGTGTGTATTATTGTATTATGACGATTAGTATATCTTCATGGGGTTGAGCCTACTTTTCTCGAGTATTCGCGTCAACTTCCTTCCTGTGTTGTGACCATGAGCATAATTGTTCACATTAGTACTGCTGTGATGGCTATTGTTTATGATTGTGATTGCAGTCATTGCTATCATGAACAACATTACGATAGCTCAAATTCTCAAAGCCAGCCCTAAGCAGCTTCGCTCTGTGGCAGCTTGGCTCAAACTGGAGCCCGCACCGACTCGGAAGGTGCAAATGTACTTCATGTTCTCACCTGGCTTATGGTTCTGGGTGTCTATATCTGAAGAGTCCCCAAAACTAATCATTTGGGGCTCTATATGAATATTAGGCAACGAGGGAAGTTAACAGCTAAGGCAGCTATCCCGAATCGAGACCCAGTTGAGGCTTGCGGATAGAGTTTGCACTCCGGGTTTACGCTCTCGCAACTCGGAAACTGCCAAACGAGCGCGGGTTTGGGGGAGGAGCAAGAAAATTGCTTCATCCCGACACTCCCCAATCACTCCTCCGGTCAGCTTCTTAGAATAGCATGCCCCAATGAATCGTCGTCTGATACGCCAAAGGGTTAAAGGGTTTGTTCTCCGCCGCCCGTCCAATGATATCAAGATATACCAAGAGTAGCGCAGCAGTGAGTAGAAACTATGCAGTAATTGAGTGGTGCTTGTCAAGCCTCGTATATCTCCCTCTGGCTGGATCCATCCTCTGCCGACGACCTTCGCGCTTGCGCTTGGCGAAAGGACGAGCAACTCTCGCATGTTCATGGTCATTGGAGCTGATGAGCGGGCCGAAAGACGCGGCAAGGACTGCTGCAGCGTGCCACTTGCGGAAAGGCAGCCAATGAGACTGGGAGTGAGACTATCTGGAAGCTGAAAGCTGTGCCAGCGACCTCCCGATGACAACGCCGCAGGCCTCGCCTGACAGGAACGGGACAACTGGCCGAACACGTGGCTTGTTTGCAAGCTGACCAGTCCACAAACCCTGCCTTAATTGACCAAGCTCCCATTCCTCCGGCCACTGCAAAGGCAAGTCAAGAGCGTCCCAACACGATGCTTGCAGGCAAACGACTCGGATCAGGCAGATCTCCGAAGGAACCGCTTCTTCCTCATCTCCTTGCCTGAGAAACTGCGGCTCTGCTTCCTGCAATTTGCTGACAGATCAAGATGGTGCGCCTGGGATGCGGTCCGCAGAACACGAGCTTCGCGAGGATGTCATAACCGTCAGCATCCTCCGGAACCCTTTGTTTGTCATGCTCTTCTGCGCTCTAACCATCGACTCGGCCCATCTCGGCCCAAAGCGTCCTCTAGCAGTTGGCCGACTGGAAGCGTGCGACAAAAACATGCCTCATCGCTGGTCCTATGTCTGACGCCGCTTGCAGGCAAGCATGTGGACGTGCCTGGCGACCTGCGACGCCTGCACTGCAGTCCCACAGCAGAAGCAATATCTCTTGTCACAGGCAGGAGCCTTTCTGACAGCCAGGTTCGCTGGACCTGAGCTCCAGAAAAGGCTGTGACGAGTTACGATTAGAGATGTTAGAGTCACTAAGCCGCAGAAGCTCACCAGATCACAGTGAGACGCCGACAGCTCAAAGCGCTCAGCTTGCGGTGGCGCAATCATCGCGGGGTGGAGCGACTTCGCGGCATCAGCCCAGGCGGCCTCTGCCTCGGCTTAGGAATGAAGGACCCGGGGGTAAAAAAAGCAGCAGCGCAGCATCTTTCGAAGCTCAGAGTCCCCACCACCTCCTCTGCTGTTGCCACAGCGCTCACTGGACTCAGAGGCGCTGAAGCCTCGCAATGGCTTACCACAGGGGCCTTAATCCGTAGAATAGTGTTTCGGGCCCAATAATTATAAGGAGCCCCCCAAAACAGTATAGGTAATTGTCGAGGCCTCTATATTACCTCATCTCTTTATGCATGCGCTACCACTGTAAGGAGGAGCGGGATGCCCAATGCAAGCGCTTCCCTCTTCCCGGCCTCCGGGCCCGTCATGGCTACTCAGATGAGCAGAATTTCTGGAGGTTACTGGGGCGATGCCGGAAGATTCAAAACAGAGCCCAAAGCAGCACCAGCTAGGGGTCAAACTCCAGACCAATGTGCTCGGCGAGAAACACTGCTTAGGCAAAATGCCTTCTCATCTTTTCGCCGTTCATGGGCCTGCCTCTTCGGTTCAAGGTGTCTATCAAACCCAGCTAGGGTCGTCAAGCTGCTTACACTACCTACGCTGAGCAGGTGCAGCTTGAAGATTCCAAGGGATGCACGGCAATACTCGCCTGCTCTCCTCCTTGTGTTACGCCGGCAGCCCAAGTGGAGTTACATGGGTGGACGAGTAACGCTGGATAGGCTTAGGCTTCTCTTGTAGAACCACTTCCGACGGGTCTTGAGGCCGGCTGCGAGCGCCTGAAAAGGCACATGCGACAGTGAGACCTTTGCTGCTTAGTGCTGTGACCAATGCCGGTCTCTTGCATCCATGCAGTCAAAAAACCTGCAGCTTGCACTGCCGCATGCATACCTAACGGGTATAGTTGCAATGCCGCGCGCGTGTCGTGCGAGTGTGCCTCAGGGTGCAAAACGGCAGTCGCAGCATAGAACAAAACATAGCAAACACATAAACAGCCTATGCAAGTTCACAGAAAACCACTGTGTGCTGTGGGACGGGAGGGGAGATTGCAGATGTAATTATGTACGTGTCAGTGCGCGTGTATGTGCTTAGGTTTCCAACCCCGAGATCAACCCTGACATGCCAGGAAGAGCAGAATGCAGCTATCGTGGCGTGCAGGAAATGCTGCTCCAAACAACAGCGGTCACACTTAAATCAATTTGCATCATTGCTGGTCGGCTAGCTCATTGTCAACAAACACACGTATGCGTCTCATCTGCATCTGTATGCAGGTTTTGCACATACCATTACAAACGCACATGCCCCTTGCATGTGCAAGTAGATAGATGGATGTACAGACAGACAGGCAGACAGTCAGATCAATAGCTGAATTGGAACGGAACCAAAGACAGGCAGAGAGATGAAAAAACATACAGATAGCCGGCTCAGATAGATAGATAGACAGATAGATATATACATAGATAGACTAGGCGGATACATGGATAAATGAATTAGGTAAAGAGATAGACAGACTGATAGTTAAATATGATGGCACAGGAAGGAAGGAGCGAACCAGGGAGGGTAGGTAGGTAATTAGGCAGATAGACAAACAAATGGACAGATAGATGAGTACGCGGGTAGATAGATAGAAAGATGGATAGGCGCATAGATAGGCAGCCAGATGCGTACATAGATCGATAGATAAATAGATATACAGAAAGACAGGCAGATAGACTGACATACTGCATCTAACCGCATGCTCGTGCAAGCTGTGTTAGGGGGACCCGGCAGCAAGTCAGGTCACACCCTGTCGGGGTTTTGCAAGAAGGTGTCTGTGAAGATCGAATTCATGCTAAGCAGGACGATGCGCCTACGTGGCCGTGACGCCGTCACACACACCACGGCCGAGGCTGCATCAGCCAGCTTGTCAATACAGACTACAGGGAGTACGACGCACACTGCAGCGACTCCGATTTCATGGAATTCGACGGCTTGCAACGACCTGGTCAGGGAGCTGCTTGCAGCTGTCAGCTAATCAAAACAACTTATTTAGCGTCGAAGCACCGAGAGCCCAGCTTCCTTGTGCATGCAATCAGGAAGCATCTCCTTTGCGCTTTGCAAGTGTGCTTTCCTGAAGTTGGCGATTGGACTCCGCTGGACTTCACAATTCCTGATTGTTTCACCTTCTGGGGCCCCTGCTTTCGAAGAGCAGGGCTCCTTCTGCTCGGAGTTTCGGTCCGCTTTTGAGGAAAATGTGCTACTGGGCTCCCTGGGCTCCGTCTCCGAGGTTGGACGGTCACGTGAATCACGCAGACGCAGAGCTTGCACCAGGGAAGCAGACCATCCGGCTTCTGCAGACAGCTGCAAAGGCAAGCAGGAATCTTGCACTGCTTTCCGTGTCGGCTGCGCAAGTGAAGGCCAGTGCTCTTGCGATTCCAAATCCTCTAATGCGGCTTTCGTCGACCCAGGTTCCGGGCTGGCACACACGCTGGCCGAGAAGCACGACAAGGATCCCGAGTCGGGAGAAGCGACCCACGCGAGATCTGCTGTAGCTGTTGTGGACACCGGAGATGGTGGCTCCGGGTTGGCAGAAAGGGTCCTCGGAGTCTTAGGTTGTGGACCGTCGGTCATCGCTGCAATCGGCTCTTGGACGATGCCTGCGACCTTCCGCAACAGCTGCGGCACCTCCTCTGAACAGCAAGTCGCTTCTGCCTCTGGCAAGCTTCCTCGGCTGCCACTGGGCTCAACATCCGTTGCAGAACCAAGTCGTGCTTCCGCATGGGACGTCTCAGGCTTGCTGCCATCGGTGCCCTTGCCCTTGCCTGCACCCTTGCTCTTGTAGCCCGCGTTCGTCTCCTTGCCTTTGCCCTTACCTATTCGATGTTCCCAGCCACTGGCCACAGCACCGTCGGCCCTAGGCAGATCCTTACCTCTTCCCTTGACCTTTCCCTTCTCCTTGCCCTTGGCCTGCTCCTGTCTCTTTCCCTTGTCCTTGGCCTTGGCCCGCTCCTGTCTCATTCCCTTCTCCTTACCTTTGGTCTGCTCCTTTCCCTTGTCCTTGCCCTTGGCCTGCCCCTCTTTCCTTCCCCTGTCCTTGCCCTTCTCCTCGCCTTTGACCCGCTCGCGTCTCTTTCCGTCGTCCTTGCCTTTGACTTGGCACGGGACTCTGTTCTTGCCCTTGCCCATGCCGCTGACCGGGTACATATCAGCACTACGGCAGATCTCCTCACTTCCGCCTGCCGGGCAATTGGAAGACGACTTGTCCCGCATGGTCACACGGGCAAGAACTAGCTGTGTTTTCTACGAATACCCATGCCGTACTGACGGGACAGCAAGAGCCAATCGAAGTCGGACTATGGCAGCCTATGCCAATCATGTTTGCCTGATGCATCGGACCGCAAGCCAGAGTTGGCAGCGACTGCCCCTTTGCTTTGCAGCTCCTGGACCGGATCTCGAGATTCGGTTGATCGGGTCGCATCGCAACTGCAAGAGGAGCTTTGCTAGGTTGCTTTTCTGCCGAGCAATAGAGAAGTAAACAGGCCCTTGCCTGGATCTGCTCCAGCAGAAGAGTCTGGTTCAGCCTGTGCAGCTCTTCTTCTGGGCCTGAACCAGCAGCCAGACCCTGTTGGCCCTAGTTGCACATTTCGTGCGTGAACGTGGGCCGGATCACATCCTCGCATGCTAGCGAAACTTGGGCTGCGATCTGTGAACAGAAAACTGGGTTGGAGGCTGTCTGCTGTAGGACCAACTGCTTGCTGAGGATCTCCAGATTCAGTGCCACTTGGCTTTCCAAGCTATCTGGAATCATACTTTCCTTCGGACAAAAGACCTTGCATACGTCCTCTGTCAGCCAAGCTAACAAACCTTGGACCCAGCCCAGTGGCCTACCCACTGCCTACCACAATACCTTCAGGCAGCAATGCAGCTTGAAAGAGCCCAACATCGGCCTGCATCTGAGCAAGGTTCTGGTAGACCGGCCAGCAAATCAAGAAGCCTGCCCAGCTCACACGCACGTAAACGCCAAGCTGGCTACTGATGCATTTCCTGCTGCCTCAGCGTCTGAGGCTCATCATCGCTACCTCTGTCACGAGGCCCAACACAATACCCCACCTCCTGGCTACACTCGTGCCTCACTTATGAAAGTGGCGGCCCACCCCCTTGAGCTCTGAACTTTCTTCCGGCGAGGCCGCCTTCCGCTTAGGAGCCTTGATGTTGTTTTAGAGCAAGGTGCGGATTCGTCAGGCAAGCAACGAGGCCAGCAGCACCAGTACAGGAGGTGGCGGTTGTAGCAGTAGCATCAGTAGCAGCAGTAGCAGTCGTCTTCGCGGTGGTAGTGGTGGAGGTGGTGGTGATGGTGTCGATGGCGGTACTAGCGGCGATGGTAGCCAGTACACAGTCTCGCAGTGATAGCGGTCGTTACCGTGGCAGCAGGAGTAGGAGGAAGCAGCCACATGGTAGTAGCAGTCAGCATAAGCAAAAGACATTGACAATGTGAACATGCGCACGAAGGTTCCCTTTCAGTACCAGGCCGCGGCATCGCAGGGAAATACAATCGGCTTCCAGAGTTGGGAGACAGAAGCAGCCTGCATTGCTTCGCTCGTTCTCGTTGCCACTGATCACTGCTGTCATGGATATAATTGATCTCGCCAGCAAGAACGACGTATGTCAGCATATGTCCATATCTGTCCCACTACTGCTGCTGCTGCTACTACTACTACTACTACTACTACTACTACCACTACTACTACTACCACTACCACTACCACTACCACTACCACTACCACTACTTCTACTACTGCTAGTACTACTGCTGCAACTGCTGCTCTACCCGTCGCTGCCCACCACGCACTACCAACTACCTACTACCGATTACCTACCAACTAGTAACTACTAAGTACCAAATACTAAGTACGAAGAGCTAACTTCTAACTACTACTACTACCACCACAACTACTACTACTACTACTACTACTACTACTACTACTACTACTACTACTACTACTACGTACTACTACTACTACTACTACTACTACTACTACTACTACTACTACTACTACTACTACTAGTACTAGTACTAGTACTAGTACTAGTACTAGTACTAGTACTACTGCTACTACAACTACTACTACTACTACCACTACTACTACTACTACTACTACTACTACTACTACTACTACTACTACTACTACTACTACTACTACTAGTACTACTACTACTAGTACTACTACTACTACTACTACTACTACTACTACTACTACTACTACTACTACTACTAGTGCTAGTACTAGTACTAGTACTAGTACTAGTACTAGTACTAGTACTAGTACTAGTAGTAGTACTACTACTACTACTACTACTACTACTACTACTACTACTACTGCTTCCACTACCACTACCACTTCTTCTTCTTCTACTACTACTACGACTACTACTACTGCTTCCACTACCACTACCACTACCACTTCTTCTACTACTACTCCTCACAACTAACTACTAACTGTTACCTGCTACCTACTGACTACTAACCAACAACAACTACTACGACGACGACGCCATGGCCACGGCTACGACCACTACTCCTGCTACGACCACAACAACAACTACTTCGGCGGCTGCTGCTGCTGCTACTACTACTACTGCTGCTTACGCTACTGCTACCACCAATACCACCATGAATGCACTCTCACTGTCAGTTCCACCACTGCCACCAGTACCACCACGACCACTGCGACCGTCTGGTGGCAGCTTCGGGCTGGGGCTGAGGCTGGGAGCCAAAAGAGCAGGTCGGGTCGCCGGACTTCATGGAAGCACAGAGACACCTGGGGCTTCGGACTTAGGGATCCTCGGCTTCGGCGTTGTTGCGAAAGAGAAGAATCTTCACTGCCTTCTCGGCTTTCTGGAGAGCACAAGCTGAGATGGAAGCTGATGTTTCCTGGCCGACGGATCGGCAAAAGCGCCTGCATCAACACCATAAAACCTTTCGAGATTCACTTGCCCTAAGACTTCTCCGATCTCTCGCGCCTATAGTGCTTGTACAGGTCTCGGAGCAGGGTGGCTACCTGACGGCATGTCGCCAACGATGTTGAAGGATTTGCACACATCGCAACACACAGAACCAGAGCAACACCTCATCCACGGCAGACACCTGCTCAGCATTATTGCTCAGCTGAAGAAGCAGCATGAACCGGACATGCAGTGGCACAATCATGCATGAATGCGCAGAAGCAACATCAAAAGAGCCACGGTGACTGTGCTATCCCAGGCCAGCACTGCAACACCAGAACCACATCATAACCCATCGGCGTGTCGATTCGACAACCCGACTCTTGCAAATCTTTCTATGCATCGTGTCCCGACGTCGAGTTGGAAGGGTCTTCGTACATCTTATTCCGAGGCTTGCCGTGCATAGTGTGGTACAAAATGCAAAGGCCTCGGAAAAAGGGCGTGCAGAAATGACATGCGGCTATCCTTTTGCAGGTAAGCAGATGTCAGTAGCAAATTCATAGCACGTTGTGGCGACATGCATTGTCTGGACAGTGAATGGGAGATTTGCAAGAACTCGGTGCAAACGGGAACATGCCGCTGCTTCGGAAACAACTAGCAACTAGATGTCCTGGCTCAGTATTAACGAAGACTTTGTCTGCAAACCTTGCTTCCAGCAACTCCCTCAGTTCACGACAGAAGTGACAGCAGCAGCGGTTTCTCGGGCCAGTGGCATGGCGCAGGCAGCACCGCACCACCAAGGCAACATGGCTTATCACTGCCAGCAACCAGTTCAGAACGTTGTTGTGAATTTTTCCTGTGCTTTGTTGGCTTGGGTTGATTGGCCCTTTATTATACAAGCCCAAGTGGCAAGCACGTTTACGCGAAGAGCTTGCCATATTGTATCCTAAAGGAGACAGCGAAAATGAGAATTCCTGCCCCAAAACAGCAACACGATCAGCCATAGGTTCTATGCGGGGCAGCAACCAATGGACATTTCGGAAATCAAGGGACGGCGTGTCTGAAGTGTCCTAATGGAGATACGAGGACGACCAGTCTCAAGACGAGCTGGGCCTGCCACACAAGGCTACATGTTTTCACCTTAACTCCGGTGAAGGGTTGTTATACCGGTAGACTATGTTATAACACTATTCATGGCCGACATGTCGTTACAATCCATTGCGCGGCTACACATCGGTTTCTTTATCTCGGGCAATGTGGATGTGGCCCCGCGCATTTTTCTGTTGCCGGAATTTCAGCGACGTGGCGTCTTACAAGCATTTTGATGTGGATTTGCCAATTTGCATAAGAGGCACTTGCGGCTTTACAACTCTACGAGATGTCACCGATTCTTCACACGAAAGTCTGCAAGCACAACAAGTCTGGCAGACCACAATTAAATCATTGTGAATTGAAACTAACAACAGCAACCACCGGAAGCAACCACAGCCACGACCCACACAAACATAACAAATGTAGAATGGATTGCCGGCTTGGGTCGATGCGCCGAAGAATTAATTTCCGCGTTTACCGCGACTAACATGTTTTTCGATCGTTCATGCCAGCCATGACAGCGACACTCCGTGCTACTGGACGCGTGCTCGAAGCGGTGTTGCAATGTTCACTATCACGCACCGCTCCCTCCCCCTCCCCAGACCCTGGCCGTAAATAACGTTGCTTCCATGGCCTGGGCTTTACACTTCGAGTGCAAGCCACTACACATAACGGCACAACTCATGACTCACGTGGTTTCGCACTCACGAAACCAATGACCCATAAAATGTCGCAAACAGATATACTTTCGAGGGCCGACATGAACATTCAAGACAGAAAGCTTGAGATATGACACCGACAACTTGCTAACGCTAACTAACGATGGGGTCGGAGAACGAATGGAAACAATGGACTTCGACGTTAACTTTCGCGTCAGCCAGAAATCACCAAGCAACAATAACCACCGCCGCAACCACCACCAACGCACCACCACCATCATCATCACCACGAACGGTCACCACTAGCGCGACCACCCTCGTCCCACACTACCAGGACCACCAACAAAAACGGTAGTAAATAATTACTTCTGAAACAGTGATGCTGAGGCGTTCGCGTAATCTGCAAAGCAAGTGCAGATGATGTTTATCTGCAATGGGATGTCGGCCTGCAAGCTCTAAGACTCCAAGCATCTAATGAATCTAATGGTGCTTGTTGGCCACATGCTGTCGAGCATGCCTCTTTGCCGCATTCCAGGAAAGCGCTGCCCCTGCCGCGCAAGCGGACCTGCCGGACACCCGGACGTCAAAAGTCCCGTCAAAATGCCACCAGGACCTGGCAACATGACGCGCGGGCCTTGGCATTGCATTCAGTGCTGATCATCTTCATCCTCCATCCATCCTGTCCGAAATGCCGGAACATTCAAAACCACACAGCCCACCTCCGGCAACATCCAACAACCTTGCCAATGATTCTCTTCACCACTTCGAAGGGGCGGTCGACTTCCAAGGTGTGGTCGACCTCCATGCCTTAGCAAGTTCTCACTGTGTTTGCAACTACGCCCGAGCAAGACCAGCACCGTGCGCACGCCATCGCCCGCCAACTCACCACGATCTTGCTCGCAAACCCTATGCCACTTTTGTAGCTGAAGCCCTCGCCCACAACGAAGAAGCCTTCGAAGATCTGGTACTCCCCTAGCGGCCAGTGTGCGGGCGTGAAGCAAGCGGCAAGCAACCCGTGTGTCTGCGCCTTCTGCTTCGCCCGGCGGTGGCACTAACTGGTGCAACCCTCTTCGGGCGACCTGAAACTTGCGAGATCCACCACGACGTGGAGATCACCCGGCTGTTTGGTGCGGCCTGCTCCCGGTGCTTTCTGTAGTCGTCTTTGCGAATCCTTCGCAACTCAAGGCTGAAAATGAGGATGAAGAAACAGATCCACGGCTGCAGGCCTTACTGCTTCGGCTTGGAACGGGCCCAGCTCCCAGGCCTCGACACGGTCTCGTCTGTCATCTTTTCAAGTTGCCATGGTAATCTCCAGGGGCCAAGGGGCCTGGAGCAGATAGAGCTCTGAAGCAACCGCTGCTTCGTCGTTCTCGGACCTCGCAGGCTCGGTGTGGAATCAGGCTGTGCTGTGCCGTGCTGTGTGTGGTAACTCTGGGGTCCCAGACTTGGAACACGGCCCACAAAACGTTGCTTCGCTTTCGGAGTCCTCCTCTGCCAGTTCTGACGGGTCCATGCCTCCGCTGCATCCTGCCTTTCGGAGTCCTCCAACACCTGAATGGCCGAAACTCTGCGAAGCAGAATCGCCTCAGAAGCACTCCACTGCCCCACCGCCCCGTTGTTAAAACGATCGGATACCTCGATTTAACAGACTACGCCACTTGCCATCGTGCACATTAACCGAAGCTGTTCTTGACGTGCAGTCTTAGGCGTGCTGTTCAACTCGGGTCGCTACCACCGGGCCAGGTGAAAGGAGGCCCCGGCCTGCTGAAGATCCGTCAAGGAGACGCTTACTTGCTCCACGTGTAGGTCTTCAAGGCTGTGGCTGACACGACGACCGGGAGCTTCACAGGATCTAAGTGTGAAAGCTAGGCACACACACACACACACACACAACGCATGCGCCACGAGATCGCTAGAGCCCGAGGCTGATCTGGAGGCTTCGGCACATCTTGCAAGCCTCCGGCTCGGGCACAAAGGGCGCAAGGTTGGTTCTGGCCTCCAGTGAAAGCCATGCCTCGCCCAAGCTCATGGGCTCCAGCCTACAGCATCTTCCAAAATGTGAGTCATGAGCATCATTGTCATCCGTCCCCTCGGCGATCTACTGGTCATCAGACGTCTTATGACTGCGATTTTTTGTTTGCACGGGGGAGGGGTTGCGTGCCCCGGGCCCAGGTGAGGCTCGACAGAACCTGTAGGCGCTGGACGGCCCAGCTCGGAGCGAAGGCGCCTGAGGCCTGCATGGCATGCACACGCGTCACACTACGGTACCAGAATAAGGAATATGCCATAATTCCCAAGTCTAGGGTCATTAAGGTAATGCAGGATTCATGTCATCAGCCGTATGACCATTCTATGGCTCCCTGACTTCCAACCCGATGCCGGCCTCAACGGATTCGGCGGTAAAAAACATAGCTCAAGAAGAATCACCACTGAGCTGAGGGACGCCATGGGCAGGCAAGTTTGAGCAGCGAGAAAACGACACCCAAGTGTCAGCAACTTACCAACAGGATTGTCAGGTTACCTTTTTCGCCGTCACGTCTGACAAAGAAAGTCGCGAATGCTAGATCTCCAAGCCAAGCATGTCCCCTCTGAAGCAGGACTTCATTTGTCAGGAAGCTCTTTTGACAAAAGCACCTGTCGCCAAAAATTAATACCCTTGTCTTACAGGGCACTTGTACTGCGATGCTGCTACTTGGATCTCCTTCTCAGTGTAATTTGGAGCTTCTTCTCGGTGTATGCCCCATTGTAGCCACTTCTCCTGCTCCAATCTCAACGCCGAAGTGCGAAACCTGGTCTCCGACACCTCCCCCGCACGTTCAAACCTGCTGCCATGATGGGCAGCGACACTACCATGTGGGTTCGAAGCGTGCCCGACCACGCGCATAAGCGCCTTCGGGATCAAAGGACGAGTTATTGACTTTGACACTTTCGCTTCTGTTGGCCAGCAGAAGCCTGCCAGGCTCTGTAAATTGGGCTACCTGTCGGATGTGAATTCGGGCAGACAGCACGCAAGCGTCAAGTCAAATGTGGTGCGGCAGGATGGCATGTGAAGGCCAGCTGTTTGCATTTCTTTTGCCTGACGAAGCAACCGAAGAGATCAGCCAAATTGTCCACGCTTTCCGCGAGACCCAAACCCAAGATCGTTTTGGCAACACTGTTTACGCGCTCTACCTGCACGTTCGGCAGCACGTCAAGCACAGAAAAAAGCTACAGCTGCCAATGTGCTATTCGTTAATGCCACGATACATCGCTACATGTGGCAGATGCACCCGACCCCTGCGCACACAGAAACTCTAAAGCTGAAGTGCAAGCGAGAGAGAGAGAGAGAGTGTGTGTGTGTGTGTGATAGAGATAAAGATAGACATAGAGACAGAGATAGAGAGTGAGAGAGTGAGAGGGGGAGAGAGTGAGCGAGATTGAGTGAGTCAATGAGTCAGGGAGGGAGGGAGGGAGGGAGGGCGGGAGTGTACATCTAATACATTTTTTATATCAAAGACTGTTCGGCTATGCCCGCTTGAGAGCGCGTTTTAGTTTTGTCTTCAGTAAGATATGGCAAGGCAAAGCGTCGCCCTGCTCCCACTAAGCTAGGCCTGATTCTTCGACCTCATGCGATCCAATCTTAAGCACGCCCCTTAATGTCTCTCGTAGCGTATCCATGCTTATCCGTGTTTGCTCAAGCCTGTTTGGTGCCCAACCAACTCAAGTAAAAGTCCTTCTTTTGTCTTCCCAGCTACGACGGCAAGGAGCATACGAGGTGTCGGCTGCTCGCTCAGCTCAGGACCTGGCGGTCTGTTCCAGAAAGAGCATTCTACCGGAGACCTGCCGGATAGTGCCTCCTATACGGGTTATGGACACACGTCCATCAATGTGTCATTCAACTTCTGCAACTGCCATGCCTGAACTCTTGCATGCGATCTCCCCACAGACATGCATACCAGCGAGCCGGCTCTCAAAACTCGGAAAAGGTGCACTGGAACACACTGAACCCTGAAACATGTCGCAACGAGCCACCGAGCCAACCGCAGAGGAGGAACCCTGATTTCTGGAGTGTATCACGTGCATAACAACACAAACCAAACACGTGGAAACCGCTTCTTGGCTTCAACCTCCAGACTTGTCAAACTGCGACTTCGAAGAGAGAGGAATGTTGCCCATGGCTGAGTACGGCTTAGTAGAAAGGTAGCCTTGAGGTTGCTTGTTCAATCCGCACTGCAACAGACCCTCACAACATGAACTAGCTGCTCTAGCCCAGCTCTAAAAGCCAGACCCTGTGCTCAGACTATACACCCTGACCCGCACATCCCCTACGAGAAGATGAAACACCCAACAGCACGAGGCCCGAGCCTGCTCCGGTGGGCTACTGGGCGATCTGCGGTGAGTCCACTCCGGCCTTCTTCTCCTGCCATGTATCCAATGACTAGCCACTACCTACTTAGATCGCGCATGTAAGCAATGCAGACCTGTTCTGAGATGAATGCACACGGTTACAAGGACAAACCGCGTGGAGTGTCTTTTCCACAGTTTCCTCCTTGTTTGGCGGTTTTTATTGCCTGGAGCCTGGCAGGATCCTCTTCCTCTTTTAGCTATTTCTCAGGGGACTTGCTATTTGCAGGGTCTCAGCTGGATCGAGCTATTGCGGAGATCCTAGTGCTTCGTAGACCTCGACAATGCTGCAAAAAAGAGTTCCGCATTGGAGTTCTCAATAGCTCCAGACGGAACAAAACCGCGCGACTGGATTTCCCAATTGCTTAAGGCTTAAGGCAGCGAGGACTCTGCAAGTGGCAAGTCTCCTGATAACTTGACGCAAGACAAGATCCTGCAGGATCCTGCCAGCCCCAGGCAAAAAAAAACCTTCCTTTCTGTCTCTCATTCTGTCTTTCTCCTTCCTGCTTGGTCGCTTCCATGCCCCCAGCCCGCCCAACACAAAAGGCATCGCGAAGCAAAACCAGTTCTGAAAGCATCGCGAGAAATAGGCACTCCATACAAAACACACACCCCTGTGTGTGTGTGTGTGTGTTATGTGTGGATGGCTGGTATGTGCGAGTGTGTGCGTGTGTGTACGAGTGTCTTATCGTAGCGAACGTATGTATGTGTGTACGCACTTAGATGCAGGTGGGCATTCCCTCCTTGTCTAGCTGTTTCTCGGCGATATGCACACACAGACATACGTTCATAAACACACAGATTACAGACTGACAAGCAGACAGACATGCCAGGCAGGCTGGCACAGTCGCTGTTCAAAAGGGAGCGCAGACATCAAACAGACTACACACAAGACACGAGTGCACTCGCAAGAGCGTGATGCGGCAGGCCAGTCAAGAACAAACTTGCTGAAGTGTTCACGGGCTGATGGCCTCGGCGCAGGCGCCCTGTGTGCTTTGCGACCACGGTCTCTGACTCGCTCTCCTCCATCAAGACTCATGCACCTGCTCAAGTCGATGAATCTCAAAATCATGCCACCACTTCTTCAGGATCAGCACAAAGACAGCCTTGGCTCGGTAGGTGTAGAGCAATCTGTCGTCGCTGTCCTTCACTCTCCCCTCCCACATTTGGCGCGGGGTACAGTAGTCGGAGCTCCGGGAGATCCATGACACCGAGTGTTGCATAGTTGTGCATCAACAGTTATTTCCGGTAGCTGGCGAGTTGACACGGCAGCATATCTGACTCAGATTGAAGAGTAATTCGAAACGACGGTGAGCCATTCTGGAAAAGTAAGATAGTTTCCTGTCCTCCGAAAGGCCAAAGCCGTAGTGTGCCAGAGACTCTGCGGATACCTGAAAGGCACGTCTGGCCTACTGACGGAACTTGTGCTTCTTTCCCATTATGGGTTCAGGGCAAAGGTTGAAGGTCTCGGGCTCTCACAGCTTGGGCAATCCGGGCGAGGCGTCTGAGTGCGCACGTCCGACATCTGGGCCCTACCACCTTGGGTAGGGATCTGTCAATGAATCTGAAGTTTCATTAACTGCAGCCTGACATAGCCTCATGCAGAAACCTGATCAGCGTTTTAGGGCGGGCTTTTTTTGACGCTCACACTCGGCAATGCCAGGCGAGGTCTGAAGAGCGACTAAGGTTCAACGGTGCCGCAAGGCTGTAATGCGATTGGGGCGTGTTTTGTAGGTGAGCTTGTGCGGGCTTAGAGTGTTTGTCTGCCGGGCGCCTCGAATACATCGTTCGCAGCATCGAAGAACACCGCATCCTGGCAGTGACAGCAGCGATGTCGAGATGACATGTACTACTCACACAGTACTGACATTCGTCACCTTCATCTACGGCAATCGTACGACCAAAGTACAGTAGCTCAGTAGCAGTAAGGACGCCGGTCGCCGCCGCCAGGAGTACGCACGGTATGCTTTGATTCCTTGCTTGTGACCTGGTTCTGTCTGAGGTTCAGCGCACCAGGCTCGCACGGTGCACACAAAAGCCCTCACGTGACCGAACAAGAGGCAACTCGGCAAGTAGAATTCGAGATTTCAAAAAAGCTGGACAGCGGCGACTGCTACCAAACTTTTTTCTGCCGGCACAGGAGGCTCGCGCTTGCCGCTGTTGGGCAAGTCGGTAAGGATGAAAAGGACTCCGCTTGAGGATGGGAGTGGCCAGCAGGCATTGGGTGCTGCATAATCCCACACCGATATCTTACCGATCTGAGGTGCCGAACATGGGTGATTTTGGGGCGGGCCGCTGGGCCTCGCAGTTTTTTTTGTCAGCTGCCTGTTCATTATGTGTAGCATGTTTAAAATATTTTCTATGGCTTTTCTACTATCCTCGTGATGTTCAGCCGACACATTGTGACCATGTGTGAGGCGACCAAAACATCAAACCATCCGGAAAATGAAGAGCATTCTCACCAACCTGTTGCTCATCTAGTACCAACAGTCTGCTCACAGATCTCTAACGGCTTCGATCACAGTTCAATCAATTTCACTAGATTTTACCGAGCGAAACACTAGTTCCTCAGACAGCAGAAGCTTAAAGATCACCTTTTTACACCTGGACTACGCATATGCCAGGTTAAAGGTCACCTAAAACCTAAACCCTAAACAGCAGAATCTTAAAGATCACCTCAACGGTTGCCCAACCTGCCATCCTCAAGACTTCGCGAAGTTCCACGAACTATTTGTTGTGTCTGGACAGGGCCATCTGCGGAATCTTCGGCATCAGCTCAGGCCTCATCTGGAACATGTGGAAGGCAACATTTAGAAGTAGCTGGGGCGCTTTGGGAATAACGCCACTTTTTCTTGGCCTCCTGCATGGCCTGGTACGCGAAGCAGGGAGATAATAACCCCACTAATGACAGCGGATAGCGATGGCAGAAAGAATGACAGCATCTTTTGAAAATGTCATTAGTGAACATGACTCATGACGATAATGGCAACCATGCTGACGATGATGGTCATGATAGTCCTAATGATGGAGTGGGGTTAATTGGGTGACCCTTGCTTATGTTCTTCTGCCAGGGCTTTACTACCACTGCTACTACTACTACTACTACTACTACTACTACTACTGCTGCTGCTGCTGCTGCTGCTGCTGCTGCTGCACTCCTCCTGCTACGAACGTACTACTACTGTACTACGACGGTATTTCTTCTGTACCACGGACTGTACCAAGAATGTACTCTTGTTTGAAGAGCCTATCTCTCCGAGCGAGTCCGGGACCCACCAACCCCACACCCTTCTAAAGCACTAAATGCAGTGAAACACTACTGATGACAACGATGATGATAACGGAAATGGTAAGCAAGTAAAAAAACGTTGGATTTCACGCATGGCTGACCGCCCTGGTACTTGCAGATCCTGGGGCCAGTGCGTTCCTGTCGTCCAACTCTGCAACTGGGCACAGCCGTTTCGTAAAGTTGGCACAATACAACGCACAAGCTGCTTCTTGAAGTGCAAGAGCGGTGTCGGAACTTTCGCATAATCTAGAATCTAGATGTTGTAGGCGCTACGGATTTACCGAGCTCGGCAAAGGAAACATTGCCTGTCCCACTGCAACATGTCCGCCCGAGCCTTGTAGTGGCCGTCGTGGATATGCCCCGAGTTTGCGCATGCAGCGAATACCTTTGTCAGGATCTTTTGGGTGCAATGGCATCTCTCTTTCTGGCGCACAGCCCTGTGGCTTGACACCGAGCTCGGCAGCCGACTTCGCACAAGGAACCACCCAGGGAATGGCCTGTGCAACTCACCTGCTTGTGGAAATTCATGCGGAGAGACTGAGGTATGGAAATCGTACGCCGTTTGCTCCAACTTGCGGCTGCTCGTAAGGCAGTACCTAGCTTGACTTCCTCTAGCTTACACGAACTGACCCGTCCCGGCCTTGCTGCACTTGGCAAGATTCGGGCGCAACTTGGGCATGCTGTACTTCATGAGCCAGTACAACTTGTCGGCATAGCCCGTGTGCACGCCCGGGAGCCCGCAATACCCCGACTTTTTCTCCTGGCCCTTTAAGTTGCCAAAGAATTCCTCAAACGAGTGGGTGCCCTCGAAGGCAATGACGCAATCCAGGCTCTGTGTGTTCTGAACGAGCCAGATGTTGTCAACAGCTTCAAGAGTGTCCTGCTGTGTTTGCGCAACGAGATTCCAGCCAGGCACGTCCTTGGCGATGATCTGCTCCATTGTCTCATCCTTGCCCGTAACCCAGGATTTCTGCCTTTCGTAGGCTCCCCAAGCCAAATAGGCGAAGTGGTGGGCAAAATTGAAGGGCTTGTTCTGTGCCATATTTTGGCCATTAAGCTGCAAATGGGCGAGGCGCTCAATGTAGTTCATCATGTCATGAAGGGCGATGTTAGCCGTCCGGCCCTGATCGACATGCTTGGGCAGGTCTGGCCTTCCCGCTCCAGGCCAATACCTCAGCGCTGCTAAGACAACCCAGTCTTGACTGGATTGGACAGGCTCGACACGATCATAGAAACGATCAAGAACATACACCTGCCATGGATAGTGGCAACTCCTTTGCGGCACGCAATTGACACCTCATGCACTTTGACATGGCCACTGCATTCGCGCGAACAAGCTGGCCTGCATGCCGACGCACACTTGCAAGGCAAGACAATGCCTTTCATCACAGATGAGCTGCTCGGAATCCTTTTGCCAATGCAGCGCCAACGTGGGCACCCGTGGATGACTGAGTCCCATGAAGATCGCCGCAATATCCGTCTGTCGCAATGAGGCGCTCAAGATCGTCTCACTGTAGCAGCGAACTCCTCGGAAATTCCCGCTTGGCGTGGAACGATCTTCCAAAGGTGTTTTACTGATGGCCACCGCACCATAGGTGTAGATGGCATACCTGCATCGGCAAACTGACAGAACAATTGATCACTACAGAAAGCTTGTGGGCTTGGTGTCTCAGCCGAGATACACCAGTCCAGGCTGTCCTGGCGACACATTGGCCTCAGGTTCACGGTAGCTGGGTGTCAGAGCACAGCGCGCTGCAAAGGAAGTGTTCAGCTGCTGCTCGCCACCACCATAGTGCAGATGCTTGACATGTACAGAACAGCTCCAAAACGGAGGTTTCAGGAGGTTTAGATCATTAGATGGGGATGGGTCAATAGCCCGTGTTGTCGCACCCCCCCCCTCCGTTACAAACCCTTGTCGCGCCGGCTTTGTTTCAAACCTTTGTCGCGCGGCACTGTATATGATGGACCTTGACGCGCCAGCCTTGTCGCAAAAATATGTTACAAACTTTGTCGCGCGAGGGGCGCCCGGCCCTGTTACAAAGCAGAAGGTGTTGACCAGCTGCCAGATCAGAACATTAATAAGGTGGCCCACAACAGCTGTTACTGCTACTGCTACCGCTACCTACCACCACCGCTACTGCCACTGCTGCTACTGCTGCTACGACGACTACGACGACTACTACTACTACTACTACTACTACTACTACTACTACTACTACTACTACTACTACTAATTAATACCGCTATCCACTACCTGCTCGAGTAAAGTCGACAGAAATTATCTTCCCTACACTTCGCGGAAGAAGCCTGTGATATCGGTCAGCCCCTCTCAGCGCAGTGCTGGCGGTTCGTCCCCACGTGCAACTTGCGATCGGGTTTGCAGCGCAGCGAGGCTGCAGCTTCCTGCCAAGTGATGGGCGAACTCGATGCTCAAACGTCGCCACTTGTGAATGCTTTCAGCCTGCAAACGAGTCGACACACTCGTCATCTGCATCCAAAGGCGCAACGTCGGACTGGGCTGCCAATCCTAGGAATACCTAAGCTGAATGCGCGGTCTTCGGTTCAGAACTCAACTCAATCTACCAGCGAAGACCACCAAGTCGCAAGTTGCAAGGAAAGGACGCCGAAGAGCATGGTTTCGTGGAACTTCAGCCTCAGAAGTCAACCCAATCTGCAAGATGGAACATGATGATGAAACCAGCAATGCAACGCCTCACACAAATTGCAGTGCTGAAATGCACAACGAGGAGCACTGGTAGCGGTCAAAAGAGAAGCTATACCGGGGTTGTGACTAGATCCAGCCAAAAATGCAGCGATGGCAACAGATGTGATGCAGTTCAACATGGCAACACTAAGCCGCAAAGATCAACAGATAGACGACGTGGCTCTATTCCAAAGCTACGCAAAGCAATTCCTCGGCTCCTGTTAAGGGATCTATTTTAAGCTACCATAATACAGAGACCATATTGTTTACTATAGATCCCTATTAAGAATTCTGCAACGAGCTGTGGGTCCAAAGGCCTGCATCAGTCCGTCTCGAAACTCGTAAGCCATCAGGCAGAAGCCATCCTGTGACGGTACTTTAGGGGCCTTAATAATTTAGAATAGGGTTTTGAGGGCCCGCTTTTGTTCAATTACGAATTAGTATAGGTAATTGTGTTAAGGCCATTATAGCACGTTTGTCCGGGGCTCTTTCTTCTCCACCGTTCATGCGGGAGCTGCGCAATCTGCAGCAAAGTCGAGCCTTGCCAGCCAAATGCCTCATGGTTTCCACCAAGGCAGCAGCTGTTTCGTCGTCATGCTGGTAGATGACTTCACCTAAGAAGGCGGCACTCCGAGCATTCAATCTCGCCGACAGAACGCGACTGAGCAGCCGGCACCCAATTACGATGTCACAGCCCGCGGGCCTGAAGCAAAAACTCCCTTACACCGAAAGGCTCAAGGCATCAGTCGCCCAAACTCCATGAGGGCTCCGCGCAACTTGCACAGAAGCCTGGACATGACATGGTCGTGTCACGAGCCGAGTGCAACATCCAGATCACTTGAGACTAGGGGCCCGCCCTCAAGGACTGCACATGACCGCTCACTGGATGGTTAAACAGCGCAACTAATACATATACAGATACATAGATAGACACTGCGCGAAAAACGGAAAGGTCGTGTTTGTGTGCAGTCGCCTGCCTCTCGGCCCCACTTCAGTTCAGCCACCGAGGTGGCAGCTCCACCTTCGAAGCCGAAAGCGAGGATACCATACCACAGTCATAACAATACGGAGCCCGGAAAATTGTATAGGTAATTCTATGAAGGGGACATGTGAAAGCAACTTGCTCGGCCATAGATTGTAGTCAAGGGGCAATCACCAAGTGCCCCCAAGTTCAGCTGCACATTCCGCTTTAAAAGTGGGAGTCCCTGTGACAGGTCTGTCAGTACCTGCAGACAACCGTCTTACTTTGGACTTCGACAACAGAGCTGGTAACACGCAGGGGCACCACTTCTGAGGCGCCCAGAGCAGCGCAAACTAAACCGACGAGGCCAGTGCCGGCACCTCGCAGTCGTCTACACTGCATTGTGCATGTTTGCAACCTTTACTAGTGCCGCTGTTGTTCTTGTTACTTGTTGCAGGTGGTGATGATCGCGCAGGTTGCCGTAGACGTGGAAGAAGAAGTAGTTGTCGTCGTCGCTGTGCGAGCACATGTGCAGGTACACCACTGTGGCAAGTCGGGAGGTCGGTAGTCGTCGATTGAAACTACTTTGGTCCTATTGCTGCTGTTATTGCCGGGCCTGTTCACACAATGTTGATATTACACAGAGAGAAGGGATCTAGTTATGATCGTCGTCCTGGTTGTTTGCATTGGTGTTGCTATGTTCGCTGCTGCCGCTGCTGCTGCTGTTGTTGTTGTTGGTGGTGGTGGTGGTGGTTGTTCTAGTTGTAGTTCTTGTTGTTGTTGTTGTTGCTGCTGCTGCTGCTGTTGCTGCTGTAATGTCGGGTGTTGCTGGTCTTGCTGCTGCTGCTCATGGTGGCGGCGGTGGCTGTGGTGTTGTGGTCGTGGTTGTAGTGGATGTGGATGTGGTTGTGGTTGTTGTTGGTGCTGGTGTTAGTGCTGGTGCTGGTGCCGGTGTTGCTGGTGGTGGTGGTGCTGTTGCTTGTCCAGCTCTTGCAACTGCAACGGAAACCACTGATAAGTGATAATAAGTGGTAACCGACCATTTTCCATCGTCACACATGAGCGGGGCCTACAAAAGCCAGGCAAAGAAACTCGTTGACTCTTTGGATCTCTGCTACTCGCGCGATCAGTCAGGCTCCATCTCTGGCCGAGCCATACTCGCCGAAAGCAATACAACACGATGCGAGTCACACGCTCCGTGCTAAACTCCTGGCCAGGCACAGTAGACTCATTAGACATGACTCCATACTTGCCTTGTCTCTTCTAAACATTGGCTTCGAGAGAGTACAGGGGGGAGAGGCGGAGGCACCTTTTCTTGCGCTACTTTCCGACAAACCCGACCACTGCGGCACCTAGTTCCACGACCCGCTTGCCGCGCACCAGCTCTGGGTGGGCCTGGGTCGATTACTGTAGCTTCAGCGCCAGCTGCCTGTGAGTGGTTGAGGCGTATAGAGAAGAGGCACGGCAGGATGTGACCGAGGTTTGTGTCAAGCGCAGGAAAGCAGTGATCTGAATTTCTGCAGAACAGATGATTTCGTATGTGGCGTGTGATAATCAGACTCGTAAGGGAAAGGCTTGCTGTTCGTATCAACGGTTTGCTTCGATACGAAGCCGACATGCGACTAGATGGATGAAATCGCCAAGCAAAGCCTGTTGCTACCCTGTTGTACTATGGTGTCACTACAACGCCCCGAATGCTCCACAGTGCGGCAAGGCAGGCGTTGTAGACCCCTCTTTGAAATTCCGAGGATGCGGTTAAGGCCCTGTAAGGTGCCCACACACAAGTGTGCGCACATCGAGTGGGCAGAAGGCCTTGGGCGATCATGCTACCGTCAAAAATCTGTGACTCACTACACGGTTCAGATCGCTGCCAAACGATGCAGCCTGTGGAATCTTCGCCCTCGGCTGCTTCCCGCCCCGTACCCTTTGAAAGCTTGTGCACATCAGCACCGTGGGCTGGGGTGAGAGCACTCCGGTCTTTCTCCACCTTGCGAGCAGTCACAGCAAATCTTCCCAATCGAAGCGCTTGCTTTACGGCTGTCACCTGGTCCTCTGACACCTATGAAGGCCTGATCTCTTTCTACATCTTTGCTTTGCTTTGCTCTGGGGCATGAGTCACAGGCGGTCCTGTGGCCACCTCATTCATTCGAGCAACCCCCTCCGGGATTCTCAGAGGACGGAATCAGTTGCATAGCAATGGAGGTCCCTCTTTCTACATATCTCTCTTTTCTTCCACACAGTCAAGAGAGGGCTCTCTCTCTCTCTCTCCCTCTGGTGCGCCTCCTGCTCGACGGTGATGGGAGCTGCCTGAGGCCACGGCTGACGAAGGACGACACATACCGACTGAAAACTGAAAGAGAAGCTGTCGTGAAAACGAAGCTGTGTGCAGGTATCCCTCTGGGATGACAGCCAGGACAGGATTCTCGAAGACGACCCGGGGCTCACCTTAGGCTTCAATGGTTTACGGAGCTTCGGCGAGCAGCTCAAGCTTGAGTCCCTAACTGCGCAGGGGGCTGCTGTAGAGAAGTCTGTCCTCGGAGCGGCTTGGAAGTTCCGACACAACTAAGATAAAGCAAGGTGGCTTCATGATCCGCTTGCATCCGGAATATGTGCCTTAGACGAGATGCCCTGTTGAACCGAACTCTACACCTGGGTCCCCCACCAGCTCTTGGCGGGTCAGCCTTGGCTGCTCTGTCTCTTCGAGGGACATCGAGGATCGGGCTGGGGGCCTCTACGTGTAGGGTTTCCGACGGTTTGTTTCGTGTGGGCGTCAAGTACTGCGAGATGCGCTTGAAGTGTACTGAGTGTACTGTACGCACCGCGTCCAAACCGCAACTGCTTGCTCCGCTTACTCTTCTTTCCGTCGCGGCGTGTGCCGGTTCTCAGTGTGACACTCAGTACTCCTCGTCACCTGGCGGAGGCTTCTGAGGCTCGGAGCTCGGAGCTTCCGCATCCTTTGCCCCAGTTTGGGTGCTTGCAGCGGGAGCACCGTGTGTGAGACGGAAGACACCGGCAGCCAGGGCACCACCCAGCACCTCGGAGAGCATGAAGAGGATAAGATTCGAGATTGGACCGACCCCTCCGTGTCCCGGATTCACCAGGTTGCCTGTGTAGATGCCCAAAGACACAGCCGGATTGAGCTCACCGCCAGAGATGGCAGACGAAGCAAAGCCGCCGACCGTCACACATGCGCCGATAGCAAGGCCAAAGTAAGCGTTCTGCTTTGTCTTCCACTCTGCCGGGATGTCTGTGGTGGCCACGGTCAGCACCACATAAGCCAGGATCATGGTGAAGAGTGCTTCTGCCATGCATGCTTGCCATACCTGGTAGTGCTTCCCTGGCTGAAGCCAGATGGACATCTTGGCCTGCCCAGAGTTCATGTGAAAGAAAGCAGAAGTAATCCCAGCCAGCAGGCCACCAAAGAGCTGGCAAAGCATGTAGCAAGCCGCATCACGCGCAGTGCATTTTCCGCGCAAGGACACGGCCATGGTGACGGCGGGGTTGAGGTGGGCGCCAGAGATGTTTCCCAGCGAGTAGACCATGCAAGTAAGCGCTGCAGCGGCGGAGAAGGCGGTGGCAGGAGACTTGGCCACCAAGTTCAAGCCCACTGTCAGGGTTAGCACGAAGGCTCCAAGCAGCTCTGCCCCACATCGCGTGCCAAGCCCGGCTTCGTGCTTTGCAAGGCCCTCATCCGTGGCATCTTCTGCAAACTCCTCCCGGCGGAGAAGACGAAAGAGTCCTGCAGCGACCACACCTCCCAAGAGTTCAGCGGTGGACCAAAGCCAAGGCCAATGAAGCTCTTTGCCACTCGTGGATCCCAAGCTCAGTGCCACGGCCGGGTTGAGGGCTGCACCAGACACACCTCCTACAGCGTGGCCACCGGCAATGATCGTGAAGCCGATGGCCAAAGCGTAGAACTGGTTAGGGTCCTCCTTCGGATTGTTTCGGCGGGATGCGGCACAGCTGAGTACTGTGAAGCACAAGAAGGCGGTGTAGATAAGCTCTGCGGAAAAGCATGAGCCGGCTCCGAAGGGTTTGATAGGTGCGACTACGACATATCCCGGGGAGCAGACCAGGCGGAAGAGAGCCGAACCAATGAAGCCTCCGAGCAGCTGCACCATCCAATAGCTCAGCATTTTGTTCCAGGGCAGTTTCCCGCACATCGCCAAGGACAGTGACACCGCCGGGTTCAGATTTCCCCCGGAGATGGCGCCCGTCGCGTAGATCATGACCATCAGTACGAAGGCAATGGATGTGGGCACCCATGCCCGTGGCGCAGGTCCTGTCACCAGGCAGCCTACTGTGAAGACGAGGCACAGCGTGCCGAAGCACTCCGCGACCAAAGGTGCGCTCAAAGTCCATCCAGAGAAGGCAGCGAAGGGCGAGCCGAACTTCCAAGACCAGTTCTTCCTTTCAGCGCTGCCCGCTGCACCATAGGAAGCCGCGTCGCCACTCTCCAGAAGAGCCTGGGAAGGAGCATCCTGAGCCGCCATTTTTCGAAGGGGTTTCAGTAAACTTCTCAAGGAAGTCTTGCTTGCGAAGCAGGTGTAGAGCTTAGACCAACGTGGCTTGAGCCCACCAAAGCCACGAATGAACTTGGTGTCAGAGGCGGAGCTCGGTTCTCCCCTCTCAGCTCTGGGCTCATCACCGGCATCGGCAGCAGAAGCATCCCACCTACTGTCGCCAGCAGGGACCAGGTATGGGGAGGAAGAGACATGATTTGAAGGCATGAAGCTCGGAGCATGGCACTCCCAGAAGTGAAACCAAGCGGACCTCACTGCGAACCTGAAGCTGTCAAACATAGCTCCACCGTTCCGAACGCTCCACATCTCGTTCCAATTTCTGCCACGCAACTTTGACGATCCGCTGAAGCAGTCTCAGGCCAAGGTCTTCAGCAAATCTCCGCAAAAGAAGCACCTCGCTCCACTGTGCTGATGCTTTGCACGTGCTCCTCCCTGCTACCTGGGGCATCAGCCTGTGTGGCCGTCGCGAAGGATATTGACAGGATTATCCTTGGATTCATGAGACCTGGCTCTGCCTGAATGGGCCCCTTCCGACTATGGGACGGCGACCCGTCCGGCTGGAGAAGTGATGCAGCTGCCTTCAGCATCTGTACCTGTCAAGCATCGTCTAGGGTGAGCGGATCACCTCAGTGTAGTTGAGGTGCCCTGGCAGACAGGAGAGCCTTCTCTGAGGAGTGGTGCAGCGCGTCGACCGTGCCCTGAGGACATGGGCCGCTATAGTGTCTCCACGTGCAAAGCGCACCGCCAGCTTCTACGACTCCTGACTCCTGTACCCGGCGTGCCTTGTCTAGGACGAGAGTTGTCTTGCCGCACAGTGCAGCCAGAGCCTGGCAATTTTGAAGCTCTGCGATGCCCTGCAAGAACTTGCAGCAACTGATTCGGGAAGCTCCACCTCTGTATTGCGGCAGTCACCGACCACACAGGACACCTCAAGCGGAGATCTCGCTGCAGATCTCGGCTGTGGCTCTGCTCAGAGTGCCCAGCACGCGTGTCTGTGACATGCTGCACCTGCAATCAAAGGAATAGAGGGACGAGGAGCAAATGCTTGAGCTACGTCCGGCCGCCGTTACGAATGCTGTCTTCCAGCATTGGCTAAAGAAATTGCGAAGGTCGGGCCTTCAAGTCTGCCACAAGAGCTTCTGACACATCCTTAGGGAGATGGAAAGCAGTCCTTGAACCATGTTCAATAGCCGGACAACGAATGTCGGAATCACATCGGGCCGCTAGATTCCGCTAGATGTCCGTGAGAAAGATTTCTTTTCCGCACCATTTAGCCTTCATTGCCCAGCCGGCATGCCCGGACGTGACAGCAGAACCACGTTCGGCACCATCCGTCTCGGCAAGTGGTAATCTCATGCATACGTTATTTGAATGATCATGCTTTCAATGACAATGGCAGTCGTGGTAACAGACACTCATCTTGATGATCTTCACAGTGGCATACAGGCTGATGACAACTCTTCCTGGTGCCAACGGCGTTTGTGCCCAGCAGTGGGAGGTGTAGCAGCGTTCGGGTGGCACGTCGACTTTGTCGAAGATCTTGCATTTACAAAGCATCACCACGGTGCACATCGTGGTGGTGATGATGAGGCTCCAGAGTCGTGAGCGGCATCATCACCGTCGGAATCATCATCCTCATCCTCGTCCTCATCCTCATCATGCCAAGAGCATCATGAATCGTCCTTGCTGGACGCGAGGTGGGATGTGGGAGCCTCATTCTTTTGATTTGGCTCCCCGTGATACTTTGGTTGCACTCGCGTGTTGCCTTCACATGTGCCGGCAGCTGCATGTGCTGTCGTCGGCATCGCGTGTTTCTGCGCTCGAGTGGCGGCAGTGAGTTCAATCAGCATTTCTTGTTTTCCCACCTCCCCGCGCCCGTCGGGATGGTGGCAGAGACTTATCAGCAGCTCTGCAGCAACATAAGTTGGTTCAAGTCAAGAGAACTCACCCACTATCATCCATCATGACAGGCATCCCGCCAGAAAAACCTTGCGCAAGATGTTCGATGCAGAAACACAATCACAAACAGCCTGAGCTCGGCACTGCATCAATCGTGCAGAATGGTACACCAGAGTTCCGGAACAAACGACACACAGCGCTCACTGCTGCTGAGGGCCCATCAACCAAGGTCAAGCAAGCCTAGCAGTTCACCATGGGGGTACCATATATATATATATATATATATATATATATATATATATATTTACATATATATATATATATATACACATACGCATAGGCATACATGTACATATACACATACACGTACACATACACACATACATATATCAATCTGTATGTACGTAAATATTTATATGTGTGTATATGTATATGTCCAGGTATGTGTTTATGTACATACATGTGCGTAAACGTGCGTACATATACATACATATATGTACACGCACATACGCACCGGAGTCTCTCTCTCTCTCTCTCTCTTCTTCTGCCGGGCATGAGGGGCTGTTGAGACGCCTCGCCACTTCACTTCACTTCACTGGGGTCGAGCTCCAAGGAGCCCGCGCCTAGGCGCCCCCCTTCCCCCGTCTACGGTGGAAAAGGGCTTTGGGGCAGCAGCGCTTGGGGAATGTTTCCCGGTGGTCGTTGTAACTTGTGGAGTTCGCCTGTCGGTAGACCTCCCTAACCCTTTACTTTATCGCCTCGCCACTCTCTCTCTCTCTCTCTCTCTCTCTCTCTCTCAAAACATAATAGACACACATATATACATATATAGGTGTGTGTATGTATATATATATATATACACACGTATAAACATACATACATCTCAATATCAGGTCGGTCCTTCTGTCTGCACTTACACGGGTCTCATGAATGCGATAGTGATGCAATTGCAAGCACACGGGCTTTGCCTTCGGGAAGTCCTCCAGAAGTTGCAAGCCTGAGAGGACTGCAAAGGTGAGAGCCCCAGGGCCGTAAAGACCGCATGCAGCACAAGCCGACCAGACATAGTAGGATGTGTGTGGCTTTCTGCGATGCCTTCCGGCTGCAAACGTCAAATTCCATCGCCTCCTAATAAGAGCAAGCCCGTGGTGACACATCGGTGAAACAAGCCATTGCAAAATGACATAATTCTAAGGTAGGTCGGGCTCACCAACTGTACAGCTGATTGCAATTCGTGCAAGCGGAAAACGGTTGGCCCGGCCCAGAAATTGCAAGACCCAGGGCTTCTTCGAAAAACCAATCGTATTAGCATGCCTAGGTCCTCTTGTTGTTGCTGCACAAGAACTCAGTCCTACCGCTACTGCTGCTACTACGACGACGAACAACAGCAACACCAGCTCCAGCACCGGCACCGGCGCCGGGCTGCAGCAGCACCACCACCAGCACCAACACCGACAGCACCACCACCACCAGCAGCAGCACCACCACCACCAACACAACCGCCACCGCCGCCACCACCGCCATCACCAACAGCAACAACAACAAAACCAACACACGCACACACACAACAACAACAACAACAACAACAACAACAAGAGCAGCAACAACAGCAGCAGAAACAGCAATGCTCATCTTTCATGCGGGCAAACACGACGAATACGAATTTTCCCAATATTCGCCCCAGATCGCCACAGCAACAGCCACTGCGACAGCTACTACTACTTCTGCTGCTGCTACCATTCGAACTATTAGTATTACTAGTAGTAGCACTATAGTAGTAGTAGCACTATAGTAGTAGTAGTAGTAGTAGTAGTAGTAGTAGTAGTAGTAGTAGTAGTAGTAGTAGTAGTAGTAGTAGTAGTAGTAGTAGTAGTAGTAGTAGTGCTACTACTACTACTACCACTACGACTACCACTGCCAATCCGCCTCCTCCTCTTTCTCCTGCTGCTGTTGCTTCTGCTGCTGCTACTGCTACTATGCTACTAATGCTAGCTTTTCATCACTACTTGCTAATTACTAACTACTGCCTAATATCTACTAGCTACTAATCAGTACACAGAATGAAATAACTCTTTAACTACTAACCACTAACCACTGACTATTAGCTAGTGACTAAAACAAAAAATTACTAACTGTTAGCTACGAGCTGCTGGCCACAAGTGCTGCTACTGCTCCTGCTGCTACTGCTACTGCTACTACTACTACTACTACTACTACTACTACTGCTACTGCTGCTACTGCTACTGCTACTGCTACCACCACAACTACTAACCGTTTGACGGCGGCCGCTATGTCGGTAGGATTACAACTACCGCTTGCTCTACGTACCACTAATGGCCACGGCGACAACTACTACCGCCACAACTCAACTAGTGACTAGTGTCCTTACAAACTGTAATACTAACACGACTACAGCCTTCCACTACGACGACGGCGACGATCGCTTCTGGGTACTTGTATTCCTATACTGTGGTTTGACAGTACCAGGGGTCCATGGCATTCATACGATGCCAAAGCCGATCTCATGTCAAACAGCTCCTGGGTTGAATTCAATCCAACCGCCTCTTGCGAACCATCGCGTCATCACAAGCTTGTGGTTGGCTACAGCTAAATTACAACTCATAGGCTGATCGTGACCTTACCCGGCACGAAGCACTACGTTACACTGTATCCTTCCACCCCTTGGATGCAGAGTGCGGTGTTGACATCGGGAAACTGGGTGAGAAAGTACTAGAGGGCGCATTTGCAGAGGACGACCGTCGTCAAACGCCGTCAGCAGGATCGAAGTACCTCAAACTTAATGCGATCCCCCGCTACTCGCAAGTACCTCCACAAACTCTCAGACTAGAATCAATGATCGTGGCTATAACCGTATAGGCATCAAGAAACTGCACCCGGCCTCTGGCCGAATGTGGACGGCTCCGGCCTTAACGCTCGCCGCGCATGCCGGTCGACTTCTCGAGCCTCAAGGAAGGGCCCTGGACCACTGGGTCTCGAGCCTTAGTCCTGCGTTGCTTTTTGGAGGGTTGTCAATAAGATCTTGAATCCAGGATGAAGAGGGTGGGGGAGTGTGCTGTGGTTGGGAAGCCGTGGTCGAAAGTGAATCCAGCGGCAGGTTTTAGGCAACGGGGAGTGCCCGGCTCGAAGTTTCAAGGCCTCAAGCTTCAGAAAGTGGACTCTGGTCGTGCCAGGTTCTCTTTCAGTTGCGGGAGAAACCTCCTTTGTGCTGAGCCATGCTTTGGGGTTTCCCTTTCTTTGAGAGCTACTAAATGCTGATCAAAAGGGATCGTGGGAGACCCTTAGGGAGGAAATCGCGGCTCCAGCAATTCTCTCTGCCTGAGAAGCTTCGGCCAGCCGCGAGGGAGCCTGTGGTGCAGGCATGCGCTCGTATCCAGCACCTGGCCGGGAAAAGATGGGGCTTGCATCGTTGAAGCAGGTGTGTCCTTCTTCCTCTCTACATGGGCTCGCTTGATGCCAATACCATCACCGCAACCACTACCACGAGTCTCATGATGACGACGATCCCAACAGCCTCCATTTTTCTGGAATGCTTCAAAATCACTTTCCAACCAAACCGGCCGAGGCGCGCGAGTTCGAGGGCCAGTCTTAGCGAATTCAACCGCGTCACTACATTGAGCGACCCTCGGCCCAGTGGTCCAGGTCCAGACTCGTATCAGATTCAACAGCTGTCGTAACTATGATGGCTTTCATGTAGGATCAAATAAGTGTAGGACACTACAGTACCTACCTTACTCTGGCCCTGTTTCCTAGGCTTCTTTTGTCTGGACTTAGGAATGAGTGGGCATTTGGACTTCTTTGACCCAGCCCGATGGCAAGGTCCGACCCGTCTTACCCCGAGTTGCACGATGCCTCATTTTAGGTGACACGGTGAATTCGAATAAGCCCTGATGTTCGCAAGGCGAGCGTGCGTTAAACATGTATAGAGGCTAAATCGCCTGGATCCAAGTTGGAGCTACATGCCTTTGGCAGGCGACTCCCGGGAATTCCGTCTCCACAAGGAACGATTTCGCATCACCACAGCTCCGACCTCTTCACCCCAAACTTGGACATTGGAAACGTGCAGCCACGTTCAACTGCAAGGTAATGCGAGAGGCCCACATCACCGTCTGGAAATCCTACACCTTCGCAGAGCAGCATCATCCAAGACCCACTCAACTTCTCGAGCATCTCTATCAAACCTCCCAGCGCCGGCACCCGCGAGATAAGACAGAAACGTAGGATATTCTGCAGCAGACCTGCCGCTGCGCAGCTTCTTGATAGCAGCTTGCTGGGCTTGACGCTCCAGCTCATTGCGAGTTACGATGTCTGCCTTTGCCGCATGGAGGAAGAGAAAGGGTGCTGCCTCCGAGAGCTGTGCGGCAGTGACGGACTCGATGCGCACGAGAGCCCAAGTCCATCTGTCGACCTCCATCGGCTTGGCCACAACGGCTTCTGCAATAGCATCTTTTCTTCCAAGTTGCTGCAGTGCCGATCTTGCAAAAAGTGCAGTGTTCTCCTTTGCCTGCAAGTCCTTGTTGCCGAACACAAAATCGCCATCAATTCGAAGGATGGCCAGCCTTGACAGTATCTCCACGATCTCATGGCTCACTTCATTGCTGGGAATCAAAGCTGCAGCGCTGCAAGCATCAGCAAGTGCCCTGGAGCCCTGTTCTTTCTCGTGTGTGCCCAGACCATTGGCAACTGAAGCAACGCGCTGCCTGACCTCCGAATCTGCCAGTCCGTTGCTGACGATGTCCATCTTGAGAAGCGCTGACCATGCTGCCTCGCTCGCTGAATGATCCACATCCTCGACGGCAACGGAGAGAAGCATAGGCACATACTTCGCCAGGAGAGGGATCGCATCTTGAGATTCAAAGACGTGGCAAGCTGCCTGCCGGATGCTGGTGTGGCTGTGCCGCAGCAGATGGGCCAATTCACCCAACTGGGCCAACATGTCCGGGATAGTGCCGAATCGATACAGCACCATGCATGCAGCCTCCTGCGACTCTGCTCGACCCTCTCTAGCGATCTCCACAAGCCGCGGGATGCAAGCCACAGCCTCTGGTGTGTTAACCAAGGCCTGGAGTACGGAGCATACTGCGTAGGGAAAGGTATCCTCACCTAATGCCCAGAGCTCCTCCGCCAAGTCCTGGATCTGCCCGCCCGTGAGCTTGCCTGCCCAGCGCTGCAGCAACACTACCGCACTGGAAATCGACGAAAAGTCCTCGGGGCCTCGAGAGATAGGGGCGTGCGTTTGCTTCACAAGCTGCACGAGAGCGTCAAGGCATTCCGCGCTTGGCGACTGGATGGCGCGGGCCAAGAGCTTGGCTTTGTCCATCCGACCCGCCAAAAGCATCTCCCCCAGCTTCTTCTGCACAAAGCTGTCACACTGCTCATCTCCCTGAGACAGTAAATTGAAGATGCTAGGTGCCTTAAAGTCATTGCCTTCAGTGCTGAGCGCCACTGCCAGTAGGGATTCTGCATGAGAGGCTGTCAACGCCATGCCGACGTATGCCGGGGCCAGCTTGACCTCTTGCCAATCCCAACGGTGGAGGTTCTCAGTGGCAGAGGAGGTCATGGCCTTCAATGCATCGTCGATTTGACCCCAATAAAATAATGCGCGAAAGGCTGCATTTCGAACTCCTCGCTGCTGGTGGCTTACAAGCTCCAGTAAGTTCTGCCGATAAAGCTCGAGTGTGGATTCACCAAGCCACTGCACCGCATAACAAGCTTCCTCCAAAATAGAATCTTGCTGGCTCTCAAAGAACTTGCCTTCAGCAAGCTCCTTCCTTACCAGGTCCTCCATTGCACCTGAGCCTGAGCCCGAGCTTCTCAACGACAGAGTTCTCCAAGCTGCCTGCCGCGCTGTCGAGTCCTCGTCCGAAAATGCGAGGCGCACCAAAGAGCCAGCCTCTTCTTGGAAGTCTTCCCAAGCAGACACCACGATCATTGCCTTGCAGGCCATTATGCGTATTCCGACCATCCTATGCCTGAAAGCAGCTGGGCCAAACGAGAGGAACTTGCGAGCAGTTGCTTCGTCGATCGTCGATTCGCAGGCACCGAGCAAGTAGGACACCGGGCCATCGTCCCCTGCGCTGCTCCACGCCCGAAGCCACAACAAACCTAGAAGGGGCCTCGGCCATGTCGCTGCCACAAAGCTGCCATCCGGCTCTTTCTCTGCATTTTCGGCAATGCTTCGCAACGACACTAAGCTCTCGCGCCGTCCTTGGCGTAGAAACTGTAAATCGTTCATCACCTCCCACTTTCGCACGAGTGCATCCGCCTGTTTGTCTGACAGCTCCTTGCTCAAGGCCAGCAAGGTGACGCGATCGAAAGTGTGCTGCCAGCGGGCATGCTTCACGAAGTCCATGTCGGAAGCCGCCTGGCCCATGAACACAAGAAAGAGCTTGAAAAGCTCTTCCTCTGCCGCCTGCCGCGAGGATATGGGAGCCCGGCTGTCTCCAAGGAGCTCTTGAAAGGCTTGCTGCTTCCACTCCTCACCGAGCACGCCCACCGAGACCACACCACGAATGTCCCTCTCAGCAATGCTGCTGGCTGGCCATGGCACATCGTGTACAGCCATCCATGCCAAAACAAAAGGCCTGCCGAATAGAATCGAAGTAGTTTTCACGAAAGCAACTACCATGTTGACGGCGATGAACGGAGGGATACCGGCACCTTCGGTGTAGAATGTGTATATGGAGAACCCAATTGCCACAAACAACTGCGGTAGATCCTCAAAGAGGCACAGCATACGACGATGTCCGCGTGTTGCTTCCTCTGTTTGCTGGGCGAGGACTGTCAGCATGTCGCTCATGGACCGGGCGCTAGCCTTGTTCACACTGGCATTCTGTTGCTGAGGCCAATATGCTATCCGAGAAAGTCGGGCCGTAACTGGATCCAGGTAGTTGATCATGTTTGGCAGCAGCATGGTGACAACAATGATTGCGGCGCAGATGTGGCCGACGAGGTTGTTCAAGTTCGCGTACACGCCAATGCTTACGGTGTCCTTGATCAAGTCGTAGCGCTCACTGAAGATCGGCATGATGGAGCGCAAGAACTGGCCGGCAGTTGCACCACAAATAAGGTGCGTGACAACACTCTCTAGAAACCAGAACAAGTACAGCTCCCAGTCAAGGCCGTACCTGTTGAGGTATCCCTGGCGGCATGCCCAGAATACCAGAATAAAGCCGGAGAAGGTGTAGGTCATGTGGTACATGACAAACCCCACTGCAAGCTGGTACTGCACCAACTCATCGTTCTTCTGGTCAGCTTCCACGCCCTCCTCCACCCTTGCACCGTCGTTCTCTATCAAAGGCTGTCGTTCGCCACTTTGGAGCGATACAGTGCTAGACTTGCGACCCTGGTTCGGTCTGCAAAGCTGCCGGCCCTTCAGGCAGAGCAGGGTGAGTCCAGTTGCAGAGCCGTAAAGCCAGAATGCCAGGCGCGCCCTGCGTGTTCTCTGCTCCCTGCTTATGTCGGTAGAGGTGGGCAGCAGCTTGACAGTGTGCATGGGAGGTGGCAGCCCTGAGACTGCTGTCTTCACAGCCTCCATGCTTGGCAGCTCGGGATTGCGCAAACACGGCTTTGATAGTCTTGGTGATTGTTTGTGAGAGCAACTGTGGAGCGCTGGGTGGAGTGTGCGGAAGGTGCAGAGTTTCGGTTCTCGCCCCGGGACGGTCTCGGGATTTAGCAGTTTAGTGTCGGTCAGCGCTTAGGGCTTGGTCTGTAGCTTTGGCGACAGTTGCTGACGGAGTCCCAAGCAAATGCAGCAGAGGAGTGCGAAGACTTGAAACTTGAAAAGCGAAACGGCTGGCGTTGTAACAAGGCAGGACTTGCAGTCTACAGGTGCAAAGACATTCCGCAGACTGACGCAGACTGCAGAACGTCGGAACCCGACGCTGCGCTGAGGTCTTCACCTGCTGTCCGCAGAGCTGTTGAAGCCGTCCCCTCGTCTCTCTCGCCGTAGGCACCTGCCACGCACCAGTTGGTCACTTTGTCGGGAATGGAAACCGGGGAGTATCAGCTGCCGCATGCAGCGTGGCATGTTCAAGCAGCTCGGCAGTGCCTCTCTGTTTTTCGGACCATGCAGGTCCTCAGTGCGCAGCACGGAACAACTCACAGAGTCTAGTCACTACTTGTAGTCAGTCACATCTAGTCACTAGTGCGTATCAGCGCGGGTCCGGTGACAACACATTGCATTTAAAGCCTCGATGAAACTTCTTGCCCCTGCCATGTCGAAGAGCTCTCATAGCCGAAGCACAGCCGAGATCTTTTGCAGACCAGCTGCGGATTCGAACTACCGACTCCAACGGTTCCTGTGCGATTGCTTAAACTCTAATCTGCCTGTTCCTGCCAGTCAGTGCATGAAACCCAGCTTTAGTCCTGCTCCTACTACTACTCCTCCTGCTACCTCTGCGACTACCGCTGCTGCTGATGTTACTTATTTGCCTTCTTCCACGTTGATGTGTTGGGGAGTTCAGGTATTGGCTCTCGGGCGGCAAGGACTGCCACGATTGAAGGTATTGGCTTGAGCTTCTTCAATTCATTTGTTGGCAATTATGCGCAGTCTTCTTTGGATGCTTGTTAACTCTGCCGCTGTGACAATGACACATCATATACACCTGAGTTCTATGGAACATACAGATATGTGTTATTATACATACATATGACACATACATATATACGTATATATATATATATATATATATGCACAGCGAAAGTGATCAATCAATTCTCCAGTCCTGGATCTGCCCCGGTTGGTCCTCGGCCACGGCAGCCAGAACCTGCCGCAAAAAGGCAAAGTCCACTCAAAGGGGGGGCCAGGGGCTCTTTGTGGTTTAATCCAGGGCTCCTTATGAAGCATCGCCTTGGGGTAATGGAGGGATCTTGAAGCTTATTTCCGGAGGCTCTGACTCAGACTTCCCGATAGCTTCACAGAAGCCAAGATGTGCGATGCCTCGACGCATGTGGTAGAGTCCGCCCGTTTTTGCAGCTGATCTCTTAGTGTCAGCCAGCGAGTCCGCCCGCCCTAAACCCTAAACCTCAAATCCACTCGAGGCTTGGGCATGGCAGTGGCTTGACGGAGATCCGCGGCTTCCGGCTCAGGTCAATCCAAAGACTGTGAAGACCGTAGTATAGTGCGACAGGTGACTGGGCATACTCTGGCACTAAGAGATTTCTTGAACATCGAGTTCTTTCCTGTGACAAGCGGGAGGTGGCTCATCCTGTCGCAAGTCGGGCCTCTGCTTGTCGAGGAATCTCTGGCGTCCGGGATGCTCGGAGCTTTGCCTGTAAAGCTTCCTCGGACAGGCCATCAGTCAGTCGTAGCCCCAGCTCTCTCGGCGCTGATGCTGCCGGCACTGGGCATTATATGTTGTGTGTTCTCAGGTTGTTTCTGCATTTAGTGATTCAAACCTCCTCGACATCACACTTTGGGATCGTGTCTTCTGCCTGCTTCGTCTATCACCCGGGCTCTGCTCTCTGTCATCACCATTACTCTGGCGGTCGTTGTGCTTATGGCCTACATTTCTTGGTTGTGGCTCGTATTACTGGTAGCAGGAATTGTTACTGCAGGAAACGAGAAGGTGGTGGGCTTGGGAAGCTTTCCAAAGGCTCACGTCTTCATACACCATCGTGCAGGCCGCTGTACTTTCGCAAGTTGCAGAGGCAAAGCTACCAAAATTCGATCAGTGCAGGAGAGCCGCTAAAGACTTTGAAGCTCGCTGCCGCGCATCTTCGAGCTTCACGTCGTTCAGGGCCAATTCACGGCTGTTCGCTCCGGACCTCTTCAGTTGCTCTGCGAATGTAACTCCAAGCTTTGCATATCATGGCCAACATGGGTTTTAAAGGGTTCTTGAGAGACGTGATTTGTATTAAGTGTTAGTAAGGGAATTAGTTTCGAGTTGTTACTGTGAGCCAGCAACCCCATTGAGAACATGCTATGTGCCCCGGTGGCTGCAGGCAGAAGACAGTGACCTAAGGCCCAAAGTGCTCTCTCTAGCCCCCGAACTTTTTACGCTGTTCAGGCAAGTGTCTGGGAGCAGTCCGGGTCCAAGGACCGTGACGCCTGGCACTCTCGTATCCAGCTCTTCGGCATGATTCCGGAAACAACGAACTCGTAACTCAGTCAACATCGACTGCAAGGCAGTGATCGCAACTTGCCTCCTGTCGCTTGTGAGAGGACTGGGTCGCTGAGCTCCGAAAGGAATCACTTCGGGAACATGTGCTCCTCGAAGGCCTGCCCGATCTCCGCACACGTTGCTCGGTGTGCTGCAGAAGCAGGGCACTGCATCACGGAAGGTCGAGACCTGACATGAAAACCTGAAGCGATGACCCTGGCTGCACCAAACTCCGCCTCCTGGCGGAGCTCGATGCGGAAGCAGTGGACGGGAGACTTGGCCGCGAAGAACAAGTTTGCGGGCGCCAGGCGCCGAACTCGTCCCTGTACTTTCCTTCCATTGCATACCAGTACTTGTAGGGGGTCACATGCAAGGATGCGACTCCGAAACCATACCCGAGGGGTCAGGGAACTCAGCCAGACAGCCACATGCACGCCAAAACTCCCTCCTATTACACTTGTCCTCCCTTGCTTATCTCCGAGCCTGCTCGAAACCTTCCGCCCCCCGATCCCTACCTCTTTGGGATTTATTGGGGGTTATATAGGGATATTGTACGCCAAAAAGCTTCCAGGTTACCTACCCTACTGCCAGGTCTAGGCCGCGACCCGAAACTTCGCCGGGTGGCCGGTGCTCAATGTCGAAGCTGTCGAGTCCCGCGAGAAGGGGCGGGCCTCCCAGGCCTTGGGTTCGTCACTCACAAGGCTCCACATAAGTCTCATCCACAAGTTTATCACATCGTGCCAGTCGAGCTGACAAACCCGATACGATAACCCAATGAAAACTTACCTCGAGGGGCGAGCTTGCCCGGGATATGTGCCCTTAGCACGTGGCCTCTACTCTGTCTTACGAAAGGCAGGATTTATTGATTTAGGTGCTTCGGCGCTCACACTGGGACAATCCAGGCGAGGCATATGGTTCGAGGTCTTCCGATTTAGGTATGATGGTTTTTGTATGATGGTTACAGACTACAGGTCTAGCTAGGGTTTCGGGTAGATGGTTTATCAAGAAATTACAAGTGGTCCTGCACCTTGGCAAATGATGACACACACACACACACACACACACACGCAAGCCTCAGAACATGAAAATTCTCGCATGTACGGATGTGTGTAAGCCTAGAATTACAAACATGCACATACACATGCGCGACTATGCTATACGAGCAGTAGCGCCGCTCTCCTACGGGTGAAAAATACGGGTGGTTTCATGCGAAACCCGAAGCTCGTGGCCTCTGCGGAGAGTGTCTTCGACCTGACCGGGGCTGGATCGTCAGCCTCTTCCTCCTTGGCCGTGGCATGCACAAACTTGCTGCTTGGCGTGGAGGGTTTCGGGCTTCGATGACCTGACCTGATGGATTAGGGGTTCAGCTGCTGCTTGGGCGTCATGACTTGAGCCACGGCTCGCAAGCCCGGCATGACGCCGGCAGATTGCATTGAGCATAGGGCGCGAGAGAGAGAGAGAGAGAGAGAGAGAATCTCCGTTTATCTGAGCATGTGTGTGCGTGTGTGCGTGTGTCTGTATATGCAAGCCAGCGACATCCGAAGCCTCTCCGGCCTCACGTGAGAAGACAAACTCACAGAGCTCCAATATGGAGGGGTGGGAGAACCAGCAGGACCGCGCCACAAGCACAGGAGCTGCGGATCAATACAGGCAGCGCAGGAGGTCTCCTGATGTAGCTTGAATTAAGCTCTGCCCAGTCGCTCCAGTCCACGCGAGCCTGACTTGGTCTCAGCATGACGTCAAGACTTGCTCTTTGAACATTCTGTTTCGAGTTGTTTGGAGTGTCTGGTCTGACGATGCAACGACCAGCTCTTGCCCGCACACTAGTGCGTCGATGATTCGGCGCCTGGGCCTTGGGCCCAAGACACCTTTTCAGCTACATGTGGCCAGGCAGCGGCAAGCATCTCCGGGCCGGCCGCACCTCAACAAGGAGCAAACAGCCAACCTACCATCTGGGGCCACGTGTGAAGATAGCATCCACCTGGCTTCTCTAAGACATTATACTGCATTTCTGCAGACGAACTTGGACACTGAGATCCCGCAACATGAATAATGAGAAGTATTGCAACTCTAAGTCCATGCCTCTTTCTCCGGCGCTGAGGCATGCCACTTGGGCGACCCATCATTTGCACAGTGCCGGACGACCCCAGCATTACCTCAGGTGGAGGCGCAGAAGCTGCAGGAAGCTCTCGGTGATGGCAGGTCGGCGTCTGCTCTTGGAAACTCCAAGGATGGTGCCATGGCCTCCTCCACCCTTCGGGGAGGAGGATGGTTGCGCGCCCATTGGTCGCAGCAACTGCCTCAAAGCGAGAAATTCACCGGAAGAGTGCTGCAAAGGACCAGCTGCAACCGAGCAGCGGCTTCCCTGTATATATCTCGAAAGCCACGAGGATCAAGGTTAGAGCCAAAGTTGGCGGCGAGATGCGGATGTGTAAGTGTCAAGGCCAGACGGGCATGTGCCCAAGATGCGGCTGCCGAGATTCTGAACAGAACGCCTTGCTTTGTTGGTTGCATTTCACATTGGGGTCCCGTCTGTGCACGGTCACTAAGACTGTTGGTGCTGTTTCCCTGCAGCTCCCACAAACGTGGTCATGACCCCATCCGATGGCTGTTAGTACCTTGCTTTGCTCGGATTTCGGGTTTGAGGTCCGGATTCGGGCTTTGAACGGAAGGGATCCTAGTCAGGGCTCCGGCCGAAGGAGCTCGTGCCACAGCCGAGGTCCACGATCTGACCTTGGCACATTCTCACCTCGCGAAGCCCCGTCTAGGAATGTTTATCCACTACGCGCGTGTTGGCAGACAACCCCAGTCACTCCAACGCAAAAGCATTAAAATCAAAGTCAAATTACTTTCATTCGTAGCAACTTGACGGCCGCTTGAGACTTCAAGCCTTGCTCGTCTCGAAGATGTCAAGGCAACACAGGTTCAACACCCTTCCCAGCAACCACAGCGAGTTACAACACTACGGCAGTCGCGTTGAAGGGTTCGGGTTTGGGCATACCAGGACACTCGCGCAATGACCAACGAGGCAGCTGCACTCTTCTCGATCTTGCACTGCTGCGAGGAGCGGCCTTTTCTAGTAGCAGGGAGCAAATGCGGATCGATGCCGTATCTGTGGGCGGACCTCAACACCTCCCGCACGTCCGCGTACGCCAAATGCCATTCTGCGCCTGCCCAGCAGCAAACCCGCCACCGGTGCGTCCCGCTTCCGACACGATGCCAGAGCTGGAGAAATCAGAAAAGCATCACAACACAAGCCCTGCTCAAACTGTACTTTCCTTTTCCACATCTTGTGTGCGTCTATCTCAAACTAGCTAACACTAACACCCGGCTGGCGTTCAGTGCAGGTAGCCTCAGAGCATGAACCCAATTTTGGCAGACATCCGATGAATGCGTGAGGTGGGAGGCGGGACGCTGAGAAACGGACGCCGGCGGTGGTCTGCCTGAATATTCATCAAACACGAATCAGGCCGTGGATACATTTCGCCGACCAGCACGGAATTACTGTTTCAACGAGACTTTCCGGAAACCGCTGGCCTTCGGGGGCGGGTCTAGCGATGCTGCGTACCAAGCTGGTAGTCTTGGAAAGACCAGGAGACCGAACATCACCTCACATCACGCAGGTCCAGTCTGGCATGACCATCGCTCACTGGTTTCCACAATCGATTCTTAGTCCAGCGGCAGTAGGCGCAAAAAGGCCGTACCAGGCAACGCTGTGCGAGGTGCCTACCACCGCCTGCCCAAGACTTCAAGACTGCGGGGTTTTTGAATTCTGCAAACCTCGGAGCAAAGGATGGGCGATTTGGGGCAGCGGCCACGTAGACGAAGGCACCCAGGCCGAGGCTCAGCACGCAAAACCTAAGACTAAGACTCGCTTTTTTGGGGGGAATTCGAAGCAGAGCCCAACGGACAGCAGAATGGAACTCGACCATCTCCGGCTTTTTGGTGGGCAAGCGTGGAACTGAAAACCCCACCCCCCCTCCAGCTCGTTCCAAGGTCACGACGGGTCCGCAGGGTACAGGAGCCAGTGGGCGGTGCAAACGGCGCTGGCCGACGTCACCAGCCCCGCGCAAAGTCTGGTGAGGAATGGGCTGGTCGGCCTCACGCACACTTTTGGGAACGACCTGTCAGTCTGCAAAAACATGTTCTGACATGAGAGATGTACCTTTGGGGGAGGCCTTGCACTTGAAATCTCGCCTGGACTAATCATCAACCTGTAAACATCCAGCAGGGCAGGCCTCATCAGGAGAGCCATCAGGGTGGCAGCCCCCTGTGTGCTTCCACCTAGACAGTGTTTGCTGGTTTCTGGGTGGTGCAGAACAACTAATGGCTGCAGTCATAGCCAGGGAGCAGCTAAGGGCATGTGTGGGTCTTTTTGTGTGTCCTCTCCTCGCACGACACGGTCCCGTGGGGAGCGCGTTTCACGGATCACATCCTCCTTTCACACTTTCTCGTTTTGCCAGCCAGCCTCATCTGGAAGGAAAAACGCCAACTCGCCGACAGGGCAAAGCCAGAAAACCAAAGCACAAAGCTAAAATTATCCCGCCCAGTTCAATCTTTGGTCTTGAATTCGAGGAGACTGGTCTCCCAGAGACGACATCCTCCTGACATCCTGCTCCTTCTTACTGCCGGCATGACGACCTTTTCAGCGGGACATCTGGCCATCTGGATTTTGCACGGCGGCAAGCAACTGCACTTAGCCTGTGCTGGGGTGCAGGTGCCTTCACAGAACGTCGGCATTTCTGTTGGTGCTGGGGTACTTCTACAGGGCATGGCCATGGTGGGGACAAAAGCATCTCTGGGTTGCTGGCCAGTTTCACGAAAGATGTGTGTCACTTGCTGCGCCTGCAAAGCGCCATCCAGGCTCATGCTTCCAATACTAGTGCCACCCTAGCAACTTCCAAGAAAGCGAGAAAGCTACTCTATAACCCGACTCGAAAGTCGTACTGTAGCGTCAGCCTCAACCCTTGGCATTTGCGTTTATCTTCGGCCCCTCGCCTGTGCTCGCAGCCGTTGCCCCTCGATGACGGCCGCGCGCTTCTGCTCGACCAGGGCCGTGCGATATTTCTCCTCACATCAGAGCTTTGATCGAACTTGACAAAAGCTGATGTCAATGTTGTGATCGTCGTCTTCGTCTTCGTCGTAGTAGTTGATGTTGCAGCATTCGCAGCAATGGCAGCAGGAGGGTAGCAGTGGCGGTAGTGTCAGCAGCAGCAGCAGCAGCAGCAGCAACCATGGCACAAGTAGCACAAGTTGCCGCAGTCGTCAGTGTAGTGAAAGTCTTGATCGCTGTGGTCAGCTCATGCCCCCATGACTTTTCACAGGGCTGAAAGCTCTCGAAACCAACTCTCGTGCCAGCCTGTGGGTTGCCTGAGCTGGACCACCGCACAGTCAGGATGCGACTGCCGGCGTGTCGGCCACACCTTGGCATTCTCGATTTGGCCTTTGTGACTTGGCCCAGGTGTGGATGGAATTTGTGTTCTTGTCAGCTTAGGCAACAGCAATGGCCGCCAGATGCGCGGCTGCAGCGAGGCCGCCATGCGTGGGCTTGGCTCTTAAGACACCTAACGTGTGATGACAATGGATGTCTTCTGGCAATCATCTGCTTCAACAGCCCGACTTTGTCATGCCATGTTTTCCATTGAACCGACAGGAACAATCGCGAAGAGGGGCACTGGCCAGCTCATGACGACATCTTGAGCTTGCAAGGAAACATGGAACGCCCTGCAAAAAGGCCTGGGTGACTTGAGTGCCACTTGGACCAATGGCTTTCGTAGTCACATGCCTTAGAATTGCTGAATGCCATGCAACTCCGGGTCTCCGTGTACTACTTTCCAGGTTCTGCCGAAAGCATAGGAAGACTGAGCCTCCCGCACCTGCAGCTGCAGCATCCATTGAGCCATGAGATCACTTGGATCCACAAACTCCACTGATCGGTAGGCAGCATCTACCCTAGGCTCTGCAGAGCACTGCTTCTGGCCATGCTATGCGAGGAGTGCTACTTCACGATTGCAAAGTGTGGCTTACTTCCTAATGTCCGAAGTTCCTCCGAGTGAACTTAAAGCAGGTGAGGCTTCATGCATGGCTGCTCACACAGAAGCAGCTGCGGCAAATGTGAGCTCCAGCGACAGCGGCTCACACATCCCTCCGACTGAGAGTCTGAGTAAAGTCAACGGCGCGGCATGTGCTTCTTTGACCTCCAAACTCGCGCAGTCGGCCAATCTAGCTTTAACTGTACAGCAGCTTCGGATGTGCGGCGAAATCGCTTCTCGATCGCCACAAGCACCCACCAATTGGCCCGACTGAGGTAGCACAACACGGCATCGAATGCGTTCGACCCGTCACTTTTCGGATGAGACTGCCTCTCCCGGACATATTCGCGTGGCACTCTTAGATGTACTACTGTGCGGACCTGGTAGCCGGCTTGCTTTACCTTTCGGGGTTAGGACACCTTCGCCCCGACAGCCTTGTTTTGTGCTTTAGTGGACTATACGGTCGATATTCCGCGAGGTTTGTACGCACGTATGGAGAACTACCCATTTGCACGATTGTATTGCACATACATCTCAAGGCTTCTTTTCTATGGTACTATCGGAGGTGGACTCTCCAACTCCCGATGATTGAAAAGCTAAAATACCCATGTATCCGTAAATCTGTCAATCTCTACCTATCTATCTATCTTGTGTAGGTTTCTGTCTATCTGTCGACCCAGATGTACATGTGCAAGCATACGACTATGAACTACAAATGCGCAGCGTGCATATCTACACACTACTTCATCCGCTGCTTCATGTGCAATGGCTTGGAACTCAGGCTGCGTATGCCTGGGAAGTTCACTGTACAACACATCGAGTAGTCTCTCTATCGTAGCCGATCAGCATCCGCTGCTCCTGACGTTTTCCACGCCAGGTTCATAACATAGCAGACAGTACACTGGAAGTCCAGAGAACAATGGACCCAAGGGCGGCAGGTTCCTTATCATCAGGACCCCAACAATTGTGTCTAATTTCAAGAACCCCCAACTCACCTCGCCAGCAGCAATGAGCCTTGGAGATCTTCTCCGGGTTATTTGGCGTTGCTGTTGGCAGCGCGGGTGTCCCAGACACAAACCTTCTCCGGTTGGACGCAGCTACGAGGGTTTAGGGCCAGGGTTTTTTGCCTCTCACTTAATGAGCAGCCAGGTTTTAGGGTTGAGGGCTTGTGACTTAGCATACCCTGAGATGCTCAAGAGAATGCTACACTGCAAGGTGCTGGTCCTCTGCACCAAACAAGCACAGAAGCGCACAGGAGCATCACTTGCTGATTTGTCCAAGACGCTTGTGGGGCCAGTGGCTCGTGCTACCGTTGTTGACGAAAGCATCCTTCCTTTTGTCGATCACATCGGTTGATGCAAACTTGCGCGGCGTCATGCAAACCTGAGCCGCTTGGAAGATCGACACACGGATCCTAGTAGAGCACAAGCCGGACTGATCGACGGAATAATCCATGCTAAGCCAGGATTCATAACCCACCTGGCGGATGGGTTGCCAACCTTCTTGTGGAGGTCTGGGGTCGATCCAAGCGTCCTCAGGGATTCTGGACCCCTTTTTCCGGCACCCGAATCACGCAGCGCCAAGCAGATGAGCGCAGTGCCTGCAAAGCTGTCAGAGCCGGTGTGTTGCAGTGAACCTGGCTCTTGAATCTGACATGACTCGCAAAGAGAATAGAGCTCTACAGGACCTATCGTGACATTTTGTGACACGTGTTCCTCCTTTTGTCCTTGTCCTCCTTCCATTTCCATACTCAGGCAAGCGGCTGTACGCGAATCCCACAGCAACAAGTCGCCCGCTTGGGCACGCAGGAGCACGCCGCCCTGGGAAGGTCAGTTCATCGCTGGACGGGCCCTAGTACTCACAGCACAGTGTCACTCGAATCAAATCTTGGGTACGTTTGCACTCTGCACCCGTTCATCTTCGATTCCACTCGACTTGAAGATGGGCAAGTGCAAAGCAAAACACATGGAATCGGCCTGGCTCAAGATCGGATCGTCTACCGCTATGGGCACAAAGTCACCGCTCCGCTTTGCCAAAGCACCTTGCGGCTGGTCAGCTTCCACACAGGCAGGCCAGCAACGACATGTGTGGTGCAGAGAGCTAAGGAGTCCTTGAGTCTGGATCCCAGCGCAATGGAAGCAGAATCGAGCTCGCTCAAAGACATATACAGGACAAGCGGTCTAGCTGACCAGACAACGAGCACGATCCGAGAAAGGGAAACCCTAGCTGCCAAAACTGATACATTGTTACATGCAAGGAAGACTTGCGCAACTACTTGTGGGCGCAGCTTTAAGCACACAGTCAGTGCATGTCTGTCAGCACCCCACAACCCTAAAAAGCCTAAGCTCAGTACTCTTTGCAGAGTAGACACTCCGTTTGCAGATTTCTTCATGGTGGAGGTGGCTGCCAGGAATGACGACAAGGCCACCGGTATCCGCAGTGGCATCGAAGAGGGTGACAAGCCCCTGTATGCAAACTTTACCCTGGCTGTCCTTGAACCGTGCATTCTGGTCGCAGTGATACCAGCCTGCCCGTCAGACGCACAGCTTAGCGCATCCACCCGACGACCCCCGGAATCCCCCGGCAACGCAACAGGTCGGAAGTCGGGAGCAGATCAAGTCATCTAATAAAACTGAATCTGAATAATACTGAACTCCCCAGCCTCCTGATGTCAGCCATGACTTTTTGTATTTCCACGGCCGAAAGATATTTCCACCGTCAAAAGACACCAGCAGATCGTCGGTGTTCCAAATTGCCGCGAAGGCCGCCTGTCCCGAGATTTAGACAACCCCCTAGAAAGGGAGAGAGAGAGAGAGAGGTGATGTATGCGTGTATATGCGAGGGCCCAGAACACCCCAGCAGCGGGGATTGCTGTAGAGCCCCAGTGCCCGAATCATCGCCCATGTACGGGAAGGGCACGCCTAGAAGAGCTAAAGCTCGATGGTGGCATGCAAATCTTCGTCAAGACATATCCTGGCAAGGCTGCAGTAGATGCGGTGGTCGCCCATGGCCAAGCTACACAAGCATGCTGGCGGAGGCAGTTGTGTGGCCCACCATGGACAATTTTTGCTCGTGCAGGCTGAGTCCTGTGCATGTTGAGTCAGACGCAGCAGGTCTCTGGTTTGATGGCCCCGAGGGGCATGCATGCTACGATGATCCTGGTGAGAGCTTTTCTGCGAATGGCGCGGATGAAGTGTTTGATGCAGATGCAGCAGGACTCTGG